AGGTCCATCTTTGCTAGTGTTAAAACAACACTGACGATAGTGTTTATTTTTTAAACACTGTGTTAGTGTTTCATTTAATCACTCAAGGTGTTGGAAATTATTACTCTTAAATATACACATTTAACACTTTATGGTGTTTAATCACACAACTCCAGTGTATTTTTTTATGTTGATTTAATGTTTATAATGTATACTTATTTTAAAATGGTAATGCAGATGAAGTTTAAAAAAATTAAACTTTTAAACCCGAAGATATTTTTCCAAAAACCAAGTTACTATGAATTTATTTTAACATTTATTAAAATTAAAATTTTTCAAACATACAATTGAATAAGACAACTCTCCAATGCAATACCATCTTATTATTTAAAAGAATAATTTCACTTTGAAATAAACACATCACTCTTTATTACTCTTAAAAAACTTTATTTCAAAACAATCCAAAAAGTCTGGGATCATAGTAGAATTCTGTTCACTGTAAAGTTAAAAATAAAGGCAAAATGTAAACAGTTGTTTCAAACAAACTATTTTTTTATTAACGAACAAGCACGTTTACATTATAGGTTAATTTTTTAAATAAACGATGAATGCACAATATATGGATTTCTGTCATCAGAATTATATGATGTGATCAAATGGTGTTTAATACTTAAGTCCTGAACATATCAGTGAATGTGAGTCCTGTGTCAGTGAAGTTAATTCAGTACCTTTGACTTTGCAACAGTACAGCAGTGCTTGAGTCAAAAACATTCAGCAGATGAAAAACAGTAGCAGGATATGAGTGGATCAGCTGTATCCAGTCGCTAACAGTAAAGTTCAGTGCAGTTGTTTTACAGAGCAGAAAAGGCTGTGCAGATCCAACTTTAGTGAAAAATCGTGTAGTACTGGGTACCTAGAACACAAAACCAGATCATTTACACATTTGTGTTTCATAAATACAGCAAGTTTAGGGTGAAAAAAAGTTCAATCATCGACTCAAACAAAAAAACATTTTTGTTTGATTAAGACTTGAATTTACTGATTTCCAAGTAAATCGAAGATTTAATTAATAAAAAAAATGTAATTCTGTCATTAATTATTCACCCTTATGTTGTTCCAAACCAGTAAGAGTTTTTCTCATCTTCGAAACACTTAAAGGGTTAGTTCACCCAAAAATGAAAATTCTGACTAATTATTCACCCTCATGTTGTTCCAACCCCGTAAGAATTTCCTTCATCTTCAGGACACAAATTAAGATATTTTTGATTAAATCTGAGCTATCTCACTCCTCCATAGCCTTCTAAGGGATTGAAACTTGGCGCCAAGAAAAGTTATTAAAGACATTGTAAAAATAGACAGAGTGACTACAGTGGCTCAACCTTAAGTTTATCAAGTGACAAAAATACTTTTTGTATGCAAAAAAACAAAAACAAACTAAAAATATTAAAATTAACTATTAATTTTCTTCTGCGTGGGCCTGAGCAAGTTAACAGTGTAACAGTGCAGCGCTTCTGTGTTGTACGTCACACACACACACAACCAGCATCGGCCAATAGTGAGCCTGTGTGTGACGTACAACACTGAAGCACTGTTACACTACGAGAACCATCTCAAGGCTCACAGAGAAGCATGCATAGTTAAATAAAGTCGTAATTTCTGTTTGTTTTTGGCACACAAAGTATTCTCGTTGCTTGATAAACTTATGATTGCGCTTCTGTAGTCACTTGGACTATTTTAACAATATCTTTAATAACTTTCTGGGCTGGCAAGTTTTGATCCCTTAGAAGCCTATGGAGGAGTGAGATAGCTCAGATTTAATCAAAAATATCTTAATTTGTGTTCAGAAGATGAACGAAAGTCTTACAGGGCTGGAACAACATGAAGGTGAGTAAATACTGACAGAATTTACATTTTTGTGTGAACAGTCCCTTTAATGAAGATATTTTTAATGAAATATAAGAGATTTCTGTCCATTCATCTAAAGCCTATTCAACCACCACTTCCAAAGCCACGGAAAGGTATAAAGGAAATCAAAGTAATCCATGTGACTCTAGTGGTGTAACATAAATTTCACAATTTTAACTCAACTTTATTTACAAAATATTCCTCTTCAATGCACATACATGCACATCAACAACATGCACGAGTTGTAATGTTCTCATGAACGCATGTTGGAAATAAATATTTAATAAATTGGTAAATTTGTTTTTGCTGCAAACACAGCACTTGCATAGTTTAATAAACATTTATGTTAAACCACTGGAGTCGCATGGAGTACTTTAATGATGTACTTTTGTCTGGGGCTTGAAAGTGGTAGTTGCGTAGATTGTCAATGGAGGGGCACGAAGCTCTCAGATTTCATTAAAAATATCTTCGTTTGTGTTGTGAACATCGAAAAACGCTCACATGTTTGGAACGACATGAGGGTGAGTAATTAATGACAGAATTTCCATTTGTGGGTGAACTAACACTTTAAGAATAAATTAAGACACGCACCTTAAGAAATCTCACTAAATAGTCAGCCGCCGGATTCTGGAAGGATCGGTGTTCTCTTCTTGTGGCTTTGTAATGTTGGGGGCAGGTGATGGGCAGAGATTTCTACTTGTCAAATCAAGAAAACCATTGATTAGAAATCTTATTTTAAGTTTATATATATATATACACACACACACACACACACTTTTATTAAGTAATTTGGCTAGACAAATTCAAAATATGTGTTATGAAACAAAGAAAATCTAGTAATACCAAGCCATGATTATTTTTGTTTGTGCCCATGATTCTCTCATATGTTAACTTATCTGTTATCTTTCCATCACCAGGTTCTAGTCTGTACAGTCTTTAAACACCAAGCCTGGTACCCTTAGCCACTTGGTGCATCATAGAATTGCTCCTAGCAAAAACAAATTGCAAAAATCAATAAATTTAAACATTAAAGCATCTCCAAGTATCAACCAAAAGTTAATCTGATAAATACATTTTGCATCAATATTTAATTTGAAATAATTGCTTACCCATTCTAAGAAGATTGGTCCTCCAAATAAGGAAATAAAGTGAAAATTTCACGTGCATTGTTGGTCCGCAGTTTGTGGAGTTGGTTTAGCTGGCAGACGAGAGTAAAAGATAGTTTGAGGATAAATACTTTATGATATTTGCACATCACACATATTGTCATAAAACAATATCATATTATAAAACACGTAGCACAGTAAATGAGTAAAAAACACTTAAAGTTACCTACTCGGTGTTTTCACTGTTAAAAGCAAACTCCGTGTCTGCATTCTGCACTGCTTTTTGAAATGCGTCACGAGTCAAAGATGCAGGACCTGACGGTTTAGGCGCGCACATTACATAAATATCGTTACAAAACAATATAATGCCATGAAATTCATGAGGTAAATTATGTTAAAAACACTTACTGTAGGTGTTTTCTCTGTTAACGTTAAGCCTCCTCCTCGTCAGCTCCGTATTTAGGCTAGTCAAAGATGATGTCGCCTTTGAAAAGAATTTCGACCGTTTAATCGCGCTGGGCATTTAAATATCGCCATGAATCAATATACTATAAAATACATTGCCAATGTAAATTAGAAAACACTTACTTTCGTTGTTTCCCGGTTAAAAAGCAAACCCATCCTGGTCTGCCCCGAATCGCGAGTCATAGAAAATGTCCCTCTGAGAGCGGTTTGCTCGTCCACAGAACATACATATTGTTATAAAACAATATGATGTTATAAAATGAATCTATAAATGCGATAAAACACGTAATAAATGCGTGTTTCCTCCTCGTATGCCTTGCGACTCGAGTCAAAGAAAATGGCGCCTGTGAGTCAAGTTTCAGCTCGTTTCGTTCCGCCCAGCACGTAAATGTCCCGGATGTGACTAGTAACACTATTATTGGTGTTGTCAAAGCATTCTCAGGTGCTACTTAGATTTAACTCCACATGTTTTCACCAGCCAGAGTGTGGTTTACACTAGCTAGTGTTAATCCCTTGAGATTCAACACCAGAAAATTAACACTTTACTCTAAGAGACTTTAACACCAGGATTTCAACACTGAAGATTTTGCTGTGTACATACATACAAACATACATACATACAAACAAACATATATACATGCACACATACATATATATACATGCACACAAACATACATACATACGTACAACCATACATGCATACATACATACAAACATACATACATACATAAATACAAACATACATACATACATACATACATACAAACATGCATGCATACATACAAACATACTGTATATACATGCACACATACATGTATATACATGTACATATACATACAAATATATATATACATGCACATATACATACAAAACATGCACACAAACATACATACATACAAACTTACATACATACTTACAAACATACATACATACAAACACACATGCATACAAACATACATACAAACATGCATACATACATACAAACATACATACATACTTACATACATACATACATACAAACATGCATGCATACAAACATACATACAAACATGCATACATACATACAAACATACATACAAACATACATGCATACAAACAAACATACATATATACATACAAGCATGCATACATACAAACATATATACATGCACACATACATATATGAAGAGTTCAGATGCAAAAGCCTCTAAGTGCCATTTGAAATTTTCTTCTAGAATGATCATTTTTATCAAGCTTGTATATTTATGTTCAGTAATTTCACTTAAATGGCAATGATAATTACCTATTAATTGTCATTTAAGTGAAATTACTGAACTTAAATATACAAGCTTGATAAAAATGGTCATTTTAGAAGAAAATTTCAAATGGCACTTAGAGGCTTTTGCATCTGAACTCTTCATATATACATGCACACATACATACAACCATACATGCATACATACTGTACATACATACATACATACATACATACATTCAAACTTATATACATGCACACATACATATAAATATATATACATGCACATATACATACAAAACATGCATTCATCCAAAAAATATATTTGTCTTAGAGAATAAAAGGAAATAATCAGCAGCATTTAATAATCCTGTTTGTGTTTGATTCATTAAGATCAGACTCACAAACACTCTCTCTGTTAATAATGAAGAAGAATCTCTACGTTTACACTGTTGTTCTGTCTCAGGCCCGACCCACATGTCCCTGTATCTGCTGCCTGACGCCGACGTGTCTCTGAGCGGGTGGTCATTCGGTGACGGGACGCCCCAGTTCGACCTCAGCGGGGAATACTTCATATTCTACTCCCACGGCCTCCACGCTCCGGCCTGGAGCTTCTGGTTCGAGATCCAGGTGAGTTAGAGCTCAGGAACCACAGATTTAACACGAGGAGTGTGTGTATAGTGTGAGGTTTAACATGAGGAGTGTGTGTATAGTGTGAGGTTTAACATGAGGAGGTGTGAGTTTATGTGATTGGGAGGTGTGTATAGTGTGTGTGTGATGTGTGTGTCTCGTCTTCAGTCACCCAGAGCTTCAGAAGCGTCTCCTGACGAGGGCTCGATCTCTCTGGCCGTGTCCGCTCATTATTTCTCCGGTCCGGACCGACGCTCCGACCCGCTCGAGTCGTTCCTGAAGAGATTCCCTGACTGGACGTTCCCATCCTCATGGATCAGCACATACCACATGTACAGATACTGAGGGCACACTCTCACTCTCACACACACACAGAAACCACTCACTGTGGACCCTACAAGCTCCTTCATTCACATCAACCAACGCACAGTGTTTATTTATTTTATTTGTCTGGGTCATATTTCAACTCAAAATCAAAAGGAAAAAAATAAGTTAAACTACTTTAAATCAGTAAATGATTTTTACTTGGGGATAAAACGTGTTTAATTATCATTGTAATTTTTTTTGGGACATTTTCATTTTATTTTTTTTGGAATTTTCATTGTTTCAGTGAGAAAAAATGATTTTTTTATAATTATTTCATTTACTTTTAGTTTTAATTACATTTTTAGTTTTAGTTTTAATAATTTCATAATAAATGCCATGACAGAAATAATAAGAATTACAAACAAAAAACAAACAAAAAAATATATACTAGTATAACTAAAAACGCTACCATGATTTATTAATACTTTGAAATTTAAATAATACAATTCAGTTTTTTTTTTTTTATTACAAAAATTCATGTTTAATTGTCATAAAAATAACGCGATTTTGAGGTTAAATGTGACGGTCACATGATCTCGAGTGGTTTCTCGGGATTGGCTCTCAGTGTTTCTGTGGTCATGTGACTCAGCGGGTCTGTGGTTTCGGCAAGTCTTGTAGTTTCTCGTCTCTCCGTCTGAGAGATTCACTGGTTCCAATGGAACGCACACAACGAGAGATTCAACGGCAGCGGTTTCGCCGAATCACGACATCACGAGTCAGCAAATCCTGATGTCATTTCCTGTCGGTGATCTCGTTATGACGACGGTCATTCATCCTAACAAACATGCAAAAACTTCAATCACAAGTGCTTTTTTTATTGATTCGTGTTTTTTTTTTAAGCATTGGACAGTTGTTCATATTTGTATATTGTTGTTTTGTTTTTTTTGTATCATTTTTGAATGATAATGATGAATGAATGATCAAGCTTCTTCTGGATTGAACTGGATTTGAAGTCTTAAATTCTTTTATTATTATTATTACTGCAGTAAATCCAAACTTCAGAGTCTGTATTGGACTGACGATGAAGTTACTGCAGCTTTACTTGAGTTACAGGAGCTGGAAAGTTCCTGCTGTTTGAACGGTTCTTCTCGTAATAAAGATTTCGTGCGACAGGATTGAACTGGATTTACCGATGAAAGTTGATCTCAGTACATCTGAACGATTTCAAGCTCTTTTGAGAGAGTAAACTGACAGTTTCACTCACACTTTACAATAACGTCCCATCTGTTAGTTACGATACACTCGCTAACAACATTTTTACAGCATTTATTAACACAACTTGTGCATTTCATAATGTTAACTTGTGGCCCTCTAGTGGTTTCAAGTAAAACTGCACGTATTTTGCAGAAGAACATTGTTGTGGCAAATGAATATGAATAATATTATTATTCTATTGCCCATAAAACATACGGTCAAGAGATATAAATAAACGTTACTGTGGCTTTACGCATTAATACATGGTACTTTGAAAGTAAAGTTAAGATTATTACACGCATTAATGAATGTAGTCAACAGAGGGAACGTTATTATAAAGTGTCACCACATTATTATTATTATTAATGCTGCTGTAATTACATTTCTGATGGTTATTTGACGTTGTTCTGGGTTTGATGAGCTGCTTTTGTCTAATGAATCGAGCACTTTTTCATTGTAAAATCTAATTTCAAATCAAACAAGTGGTTCTTTGTCTGAGATTTCAAAGGAAATAAACTGATAAGCTAGTGAATGTTTGATTAATGCTGTTGATTATTATAATAACCTGCTTTTGTGTTTTTATTTGGGATGAAGTCGATGTTCAATGAGAATTATTTTGTTCTTCTGAAACGTGTATTAATCCATGATCTTACGGGAGCTTTGACTAATAAACCAGGTGTTCATTACATTTGCATGTCTGACAAACTAAAGCAATTATACACACAATAACATCCACTCTGAATAATTAAGGATAAAATGTGACTCAAATCTGTAAAGATGAACGGTTGGTCATATTCTGAAAGACATTTTATGATTCAAACTGTTGTTTTGACATCCACGAATCACGCAAGTATTTTTGTTCAATAATTGTGTCAGATTTCCGTGAAAGTTTTCATTTGTCTGGGTCTGATTGTTATTTTATAATATCAGAAGCTGCACTAAACTCTGCTTGCAAGACAAATCAATTTTCTATAACAAAATCATTTGTCTCCTGTCGTTTGTCTATTTTCCCCCTTAATTTGTTCAGTTAATTAACAATTTGAAGATTTTTTTTTACTAAGTTTGAAGCTATTTTATTAATATATAAACATTTTAATAGTTAAGTTTGGGCTCTGTAGGATTTGAAATGTTTTGTCTCTTCTGCTCACCAAAGCTGAATTTATCTGCTCTTCAGTGTCACATGATCCTTCACAAATACAAATCACTCTAATATGATGACCTGGTGATCAAGAAACATTTATGATTATTATCAGTGTTGAAAACAGCTTCATATGTTTATGGAGACTGCAAGATATAATCTTTTGTAACATTATAAATGCCAATTTTGATCCAGTTAATGTGTCTGATGAATAAAAGTATGAATGTCTCCTGACTCCACATGAAGACACCAGGAAACTGATCAAACGTACAGCACACGTGATGTTTAAAAAATAATTTATTGTTCTTTATGTACAGGAAATATAGAAAACTGAGTAGAAAAGTTATTGTACAGCAAACTCTCTCTGTACACTTCATGGAGAAGAAACGTCCAGATAAAACCCTCCAGCTCAACATCAGTCCAGTGACGTCAGCGGGACAGAGGGATTGTGGGTAATCTGTACCGTGAACACGTCAGTGAATCTCACACACATCCAGAAGCTCTTTGGTTTGTGAATATCGTGATCATCACTGCATATGTTCCTCGTGAGGAGGACATAAACCTGCGTCAGGAGGAGCAGCAGCCGCTGGTTTGACTGGGATTCGGGCACTTGTCAGCTGGTTTGAACCGGTTTAAACCGCCTCAGACTAGTTTAAACAGCTCATTTGAGCTGTTCAGGGGGAAATAAAACATTAAAATAAAGATGCATCTCATTAAAGCTGCTAAATACTCAGACGACGACCGTCAATGATGCATAAGAACTAGAATAACTAGAAGAATAATCATAATACAAAGGCATTCCATAAGCGTAGATGATTTGGTCCGTTCTGAAGACAAACACTGAACACTCGTTTAATACTGATGCCCTTCAGAGATTAGAGAAAACACACACAAATCACTCCCTGAAACGAAAGAAAACGTCCGTCTCTTTGTCCATATGCTCCTCAAATAAATAAACGTAAAACTGAAACAATTCAGAAGAAACAGAAATAACGCTGTCAGTCGGGATATAGCGATGACAAACTGCACGTGTCCGATTAATAACGTGTAATCGTCCTGGTTGTGAAGCGAAGCGGAGGAATAAATAACGTTTCGTTCCCGCCAGGACACGAGCGCAGGAGGAGAGGACACCTCAAAAACAGCTAACCCTGCGACACACACAAACACACGCGGTGAAGATCTGAGGTCAACGAGGGTCAAACGAGTCAGTCTTCCTCAGATATAGATTTTCATCTAATAAAACAAGGGCTGATATTTCATGATGAACTTTAAAACATGAAGCCAGAGCAAAAACAAAACAAAATCATTGTGATAAGCACGACATCGGACTCATGAAAGGAGAAACGTGTGTGTGGATGAGTGAGTGAGTGACACTGTGTTTTATGAAGTCATGATTTGGTGTAAAGCTGGTTGCTAACGACACTGCAAAAAAAAAAAAAAACTAATTTTGTCTTATCTTGAATTTTGTTTCTGTCTTGTTTTCCAGCAGAAATATCTCCAGCAGAGTTTTACAATAAACACAGCCATGTTCAAAAGTGTACACTTAATTTATCTAAAATAGTGATGAAACGCTGCACATTTAATAATGACAATATCAGAAATAGAGGTTTTTTTCATCTTGGCTGTTAAATAATGTTAACAAATAAATAATATATAATTTGATTACGTCTGGACTTCATTTTGAATCTGAAAACAGTATTAATATCTCATCAGAGAGAAGTGTATGCTTAAAACAGAACACATCTCTGATGTCTCAGACTCATCTTCAGTCTTTCTGCTTGTTCTCCACTAAATGATCTCCATTTAAGAAAATTGAGATATTTTTGCTGGAAAATACAAAAACAAAATAAGACAATAATACCAAATCATTTGTTTTTTGCAGTGTTTAAACTATAAAGTGAAGAGAGAAAAAAACATGATGACGACGCATTTGACCAGAGGATGGAGAAAACACTGCAAAACACACACAACAATGCAGTCAGGAGGAGCCGAAATCAAATATAAAGACACACACACACACGTGTAACTGGTCACGGAGCAGCACAGACGGGTCATGAGAGTGTGCAGTCGTACGAACCCTTGTCCAGCGGCTCTCTCACACATACACACGCACACTAGTGTTGTCAGAAGTACTGACTTTGGTATCAAGTCGGTACTGAAATTTTCAAATTGTGACTGAGCACTGTTGAGTGGATTCATAAACACTTCTGATTGGCCGTTGTGTTCACGAGCTCATCTGATATGTCTGTGATTGGCTACAAGGATCAGCGCTTTCGCAACCGTTGTACATCAATGAGGCTCTTCAGCGAGCGCAGACGTCGTCGTGCGTGTGTTTTCAAACTCTTTCATGCGTTGATCCTTGTAGCCAATCAGACATATCTGATGAGTGCGTGAACACAACAGCCAATCAGAGGTGTTTATGAATCCGCTCAACAGCGCTCAGTCACAATTTGAAAATTTCAGTAGACTTCATACCGAAGTCAGTATTTTTGACAATACACACACACACACACACACGTGTGCAGTCGTACGAGGCCTCATCCAGCGGCTCACACACTCATGAGAGAGTGCAGTCGTACGCCCCCTCCTCCAGGGCCTCCTGCTGCTCAGGCTCCTCAGGTGTGTCCTCCAGGGGTCGAGCGCTGGCACCACAGGGGCCGTCCAAGGGCAGCGGGTGGGCAGAGGTCACGACCCCACGGGGTCGCAGCGGGTGGGCAGAGGTCACGACCCCGCGTGTGTCCTCGGCTCTGGGCTCGGGCTCGGAGTCCCCGCTCGGCTGGAACGGCTCCGGCTGAACCGGCTCCTCGGGAACCTCTGAGAGCTTCAGCAGCTGCGGGCCAATCAGGTGCAGGAACGGCTTGTAGCCCAAGCTGACAGGAAGTGACATCAGAGAGGAAGTCCATTGAGTATACCATGAAATAAACACGTCCATTGCAACATTAATCAATTAGTGAAACTTCTTAAACTTTATACATATTGGTTATGGGTCAAATCCCTTTCATTTATAAAGCGGGACAAAAACAAACTTCCATAGAAAACAAAATTGTTATATTTTATGTATTTTTGAGACTTTTCAATAACAAATAAATCTTGCCGACCCTAAACTTTTCAAAAGTAGTGTATATCTACTATTTCTTCATCATTATGCGTCTCATCTCGGCTGTGTATTACTGACCAATCAGAGGAGACCCAGTGGTCGACGGCCATCAGCCCGGCTTTGATGCTCTGCACCGTCTCTGCCGGCACCTCAGCACTGTCCAAGAAGCCCACGACCTGCTTGATCACGCTGGCGTCCCGTAAGATCAGCCCGATGATCACACACCACTCCAGACAGCCCGCCTCCATGAACACGTGCAGGAGATACCTGACAAAGGAAATTCAAGGACTTTTCAAGTCCCACTTTTTTGGTTTTCAAGCACTACAATCAGAGATCTCACTTATCAAACAATATTCAAATTCTATAAAAGATAAATAGATCCACACACAAAAAAAAAATGGTACAAATAAAGTGCAGCACATGAAATGACTGTGGAACTTTAACCCTCTAGGTGCCACGTCGAGTTTACTCTGAATAAAAGGGCCAATTTTGTCAAATTGGGTGTCAAATTTCGTTCAACCTCCACTCAACTAGAAGGCAGACATGTCATACTTCATCCCTAAATAAAAAAAAAAAAACGATCATGCTTCTATACAAAATGTTTGAGTTAGAGCGCATTGAATCAGTGCGATCAAAAGCGGAGCTAGTGTGCGAGTCGGCCATTTTATCAGAGCCTCTCCGCAATGATTATGACAGTAGTCTGAGCTGTGCACACTCGAGGCAGATCTGGCCTAGCCTGGTAATACCAAGCGTGCCGCACAAGCCCTCAAAAGTGAAGCCAAAACGTCTCGATCGCCCCCTGTGACCGGTCCTAGTATAGCTTATAACCCCCGCCTCCCCATGTTATTCAATGGGACGCGAGACCAACTAAACAATTAAATTACACTTCACATATCCTTTTTCCAAAGATAGTTTCTGTCATTTACTGTAGTTTCTATCTCGTTGATTTAATTTCAAGTGTTCGCTTTTAAAATAAGTTTGTTTTTAGTTAGTTATGTGATGATAAAAACGATGCTCTGACATCATGATTGACAGGTTCTCTGAGCGAGGTAGTCACTGAAGCACCAGCGGACTTTTTTTTAATAATGTTGATTATGTGGTTATTAGTTGTATTTACCTTATTTTAACGAGGTTCTGCAATCAACGGACATTATTGGCGAAGAACGAAGCAGACAGAGGACACTTAATGAAAGTGCGGGGCGTGTGCTTGCGTTTGATTCAGCGAGAATGAGGGCGCGGCCTTGATTTCGCGGCTTAACTTCCTGCTCACGACTGCGTATGACTGGTCCTGAAACACGCAAGTGCGCAGACTCAAGTTCCAAGATGTCAGCGTCATATGTCACTGGCGGCTTCAGTTCTCTCAGATGGAAAAGAGCGAAGGGGCGTCGTCCATCTTTTTTTATAGTCTATGGGTAATACCAGACTCTGCTACTTGACTTTGCTTCGTAGACAGAGTCTGGAATGGCAGAATAAAGAAGTGTTTTCTCTCTCGCAAGGGGACGCTTGTCTGAAGTTTAAAATCATTGGTTACCCATGAGCCAATCAGATAAGTTTATTTATGACACGTTAAGCACCGACACGGCCGCATCGAGACATTATGCATCAAACTCAAATCTATGATCGAACTTCCACTGTAAACAGGGAGCGGCGCTTTTGTAAGGGCTGCAAAATGTGTGCCAACCGGGAACGAACAATTCACAAACTAGGTTATTTATATGATTTACTGAGCTGCGGCCGCCCCACAGCGTCGGCACGCCCTGCTCTCACGAGTCATGACTGATTTAGCTTCCGCAGCGCCGCGAGGGCGAGCCCCTGCTCTCACGAGTCATGACTGGGTAATAGGAAGTTCATTTTACTGACTCTCCGAGTCATTCGAGTCATTTCGTTTATTTAAGTGGCTTAATGTTTTAATTTTAAGAGCCAAATTCCCCGATCACATCCACCAATGTTGATCATATTCTGAATTAAGAAATCATAATGCAGTAAAAAATGATTTACAGGGAACATAAATAATCACTTTACCTTCCGAGTCTTACATTCATTTGTCACGTGACATACGCAATGAACAGATCGTTCATGAATCACATATCTGGGACTAATGCAAATGCAGCAGGATGTCGAAACGAAATATGGTGGATTGTTGTTATTATTATGATAATAAGAGCGCGCCAGGAGCGTTCACAGCCGAGGAGACCGACGTTCTTGTCATGGCCGTAAAAGACAGAGAAGTGACGTTGAATGGGGGTAAGTTATGTCCTTATACATATGCGTCTTGCCACTATATAATAGGCCAAACAGGTCTGATCCGTCATTACTACAATTAGTATGAAAAATGTGGGTGGCCCAAATGTGTTCGCTTGAAGTGTTAATATGTTTCATTGTTATAATATAATAATAGTGTTGATGAGAGAATAAAAGTGTTTGGGCGTTGTGCACAAGCTACATAATGGCCAAGCACGCGCCCTTAAAATAGCATTATTAACAACGTGCAAAGCGCCACTGACTTTAGACTAGTTTTTTCGCGTTCTATGGCATGTTGGTCTTTGTTTGTTGTTGCTTGTATATGTTGCAAATAGAGGGGCGGCAAATTTGCTTTTCGCCTACAGCGGCAGAAGTACATGCGCCGGTCCTGGCTGTAAACACTTGATGCGAGCGAAATACCGGAGTGAACATGGCTGTAAACGACTTTTGCTTCAGTTTGGAAAAAACTCTGGAATGTTCTCCATAACAGAGCGAATTGCATCCCGTGTCTCGTTTCCCATTTCTGCGGTCGTTTCGGTTTGATTTCTCTAACCTACAACGTAAAACTTGGCGCTTAGCGCTTACGTCACAGCTCTCTGCCCTCTGTTCGTTGATTGGCTGGCTGTTTTCAGACCGGTGGAAAACTGAAAGATAGGCTGCTATCTCAGACTGACTATAGGAGCGAAATGAAATTAGCGGAAGTAGGAAGTCTGACGTAGTGAGGCTAGATCTGGCCGCGCTGCTCGTATCATCTCACTCACTCATGATCTGGGCCTTGCTGTGGCGAGTGAGCTTTTTAACAAAACGGGTCTCGTCTACTTGTGTTTGTGTGTCATATGAATAATATACATGTGCTAGGGTTGGGCCATCGTGATGGCTGACAGACGAATAAAATCTGTCGTCAAATATATTTGAATGGGTTGTTATTAGGGCTGGGTATTGAGACAAATTTCACAATTCGATTCGATTTCGATTCACAAGCTTGCAATTCGATTCAATATCGATTATTTTGGATATCAGTTACAATAAATGGCATTTTTTCTCAAGGGAATCAAATCTCTTAACTAATGCTGTAAACCATGGGAGTCTAGTTGTAGCCTACTAGGCTTCATTAGCCTAATATGAAGGTAATAATGAATGAATCACTTAAATTACACTTTTATTTATTTTTTTAATAAGAAGATTATATGAAATATAAACATTTAAATGGTGGCTATATATTTAGCAAAATGTTCCTCTCTGTAGTTATTTTTTCCTAGCTGACTAACGAGTTGATGTGAGTTTTCTGAGGTAAATATGACGATACATTGATTACAAGCTGTTTAACTTACGTCTTTCCACGGTTGAAACGCTGATTGAGCGAATCAATGTGACATGATCTTTTAACACACTTTCAGATGCTCATTCATGTTTATTTCGCACTGTGACTGGAAGAGAGATCAGCGCTGCTGCTTCTCATCAGCTGCGTCAGAGCGATCTCACGCCACAGCGCCAAAACGCTATTTATGTTTTTGAATTTCTAAAGAAAATGGACGTAATTTGAAAATTGAGACTTTGCTTCATATCAATAGTAACAAAGGACAAAGATTATTGCGATTGTTTTTGATGCGCGCAGCCGCGATACAATATCCCATTCATTCAAATGAAACAGGATGAATAATCGATTCTTGAGATTTAAGAATCGATATCGGTTCGTAAAAATGAGAATCGATTAATATCGAGAAATCGATATTTATTACCCAGCCCTAGTTGTTATTGCTGCTTCTATAGACACCATTGTGTATTTTACAAAATATAAATGTATTGTTTTGCTATAAATTATATGTATTTAAATGTCTGAAACCTAAAATAAACATAAAGTGGTTAAAAACACTGAACAGTTGTGATCTAGCCTGTGATATAGGCTATGACAAGCGCTGAGCGCGTCCATCTTTTGCTCAGTGCCAGCCATAGTGCGAAAGCACGCAGTTTAAATCTGGCAGCTGGAATCTGCAGAGCGTGCCGAAATCGAAATTGCCGATGAGATATAGAGGACAATATCTAGTGAAAATGAGAATATTACGAAAATATACAATATCACACTCATAACCATGCAGAATGCCTCTATATCTATATCAGACGGGCTAAAGCGTTCATTTTGTGTGAAAAGATTGTTTTATCAATACATTTAAACGCTAATTTCAATAAATCAAGCGCTATTCAAGAACATTTTCACAAAAATGTCTGTTTTCAAGAGTTTTCCACAACTTACATTTCAAAAAGTCAAATTCAAGCACTTTAAAGAGTAACTAAACACTAAACCAACTTTTTTTTAGTTAATGATCTGTAAGAATGGATCTTTATTAATACCAGTCATTGATTCGAGTAACTTTTTTGACATTTGTTTATAAAGTGTTCTATTTCTACAATATATGGTGTAAAAACATCTTAGTGCTGCCCTCTTCAGGTTGAACGGTGGCTACTGCAGTTGAATTTTTCTATTGGATGTTTCGCACTTCGTGACTTTTTCCGCATTTTCAAATATTGCCAGTGGGTGGAGTCAGGCTCTGACCAGGGGTTTAGTTACCCTTTAAGCCCCAAACACAGTCAGTGATTTGATTGGTTATCAGGTGATGATCTCATGAAGACTCACCTGAGCTGCACTTGACTCTTGTGTGGCCCTTTATTGGCCAGCTCCATAGAGATGTGCTCCAGCTCTGATTGGCTGAGACTGAGGGTGGAGAAATTCTCATCCACCATCGTCCAATCACCATCCACCACTGAACTGGTCTCAGTGAGGTCCGTGGCTGAACCGATGCTGTACTCCTCTCCTGAACGGGTGAATCAACAGAAAGAAACATGAGAGAGCGAGAGGAAACTAAAGCCAAAAGTTTTCTTATCTTGTCTAAATGCAACTACAAATGTACAAAGGTGTATTTTTTTCTTGTTTATATAAATGTCTTTATTTACTGATTGCTTTATTGACTTTATTGATCATTGCTGATGTAAAGTCCAATGCTTTGGCAGTACTTTACAAGTCATGCCAATAAAGTTCATTTGAATTTGAGAGAGAGAGAGAAAGAGAGAGATTTGATTCTCTTACCTTTGTTAATAAGAGGAGAGAGAAAAGCCTCCTGGGTCTGCGGTCCTCCGTGAGAGGAGGCGGAGTTTAGTTCCTTGGACACCGCCCCCAACCCGTCAAGCCAGCTGTGATTGGCTGGGGTGACCTGAGGGGGCGTGGTGTCCATGTCACTGTTCAGCAAACTGTCCGCAGACTGAGACTTCAGCAAGCGAGAACTCAACACTACGGCCCGAGAGAGAGAGAGAGAGAGAGAGAGAGAGAGATTTCAGAGTCATTTATATATAATCTTAGGACAAAAATATCTGTCAAAAACACTGATAAAAAGGTACAGCTTGGAAGCACAGCCTTAAGTTTGCTCTCATTTTAAAGAAGACACTTGGCAGATTATTGTTGAAGTGTAAAAAGTTTAAAAAGTGACAAACGTTATAAGGTATAGAAGTTTAAGAAAATGATTCATAAGCAATATTTTATAAAGAATATTTATTTTATGAAATTCTAAAACTGATAGAAAATTAAAGCCATAAATCTAAATTATGGCTTTAATTTCCTATCAGTTTTAGAGTACAACAACATTTGTAATTTTGAAGCCTTGTAAACAGAATGAAACCCTATTAACAAAGATTGCATAATTTTATAGTTAAACAGCCCTGGGATTAATAATTGTAAAGAGTAAATGGGGGTGAAATACTTCAATTCCAATAAAAATACACACTTGTGCCAAAATGTATGCAGTTGGCATTAACATAATCAACATGATCAAAAAACTGAAAGACAAATGTCCATAAGGTTGCACACGGGGTGCAAATACATGTTTAAATGTACAAGCTGAAGACTAAAATTATATGGACCTAAAAAAAGGAACAATTATAAAACAACTATATACACAACATTTAGACAAAAAGCATTTTTCATATATGCGTACACACTAGGGGTGCACGATATTAACAAAAAAGGTGATATTATGATATCGATAATGAATATTGCGATTTCGATATTTTTAAACGGATGTAAAACTACAAAAAGTTATGGGAAAATGCATCAAAAAGATTAATTACAAAAATGCATGATGCATCATAAACAAAATATCGCAAGACTTTCGATATGTATATCGAGCAACATGATATCGCCATAACGATATTGATTCGATATATCGTGCACCCTCTAGTACACACAATAATATATTAATATAAAGATAATTTTTAATATACACATTAACATTTGCAGTTTAAAATCTGTCTTGTGATAAACCTTGGTATGACATAACTGGAGGGAAACTCATTCACACACCTGGGCGGCAGCGTCCGTTCTTCAGCGGCGAGCTAACAGAGCATGCTGGGATGACGGGAAACGGCCACAGGAAGTCCTTGTGCAGGCATTTGAGCGCGGTGACGAAATCCTCGACGCGAGCCACTCGCGTGCGCTCCCGACACAGCCAGCCAATCAGCTCGAAGCCCAGCTGAGCGGAGAAGCAGCCGAGGTCCCGCAGCCGGACCTGCTCCAGCAGCAGCCGAGCGTGTCTCCACAGCATCACGTCAATGTAGAGGTTCTCCGCGGAGTCAGTGTCCTTACACCAGCGCTCGCCCCTGATGACACAAACACTCATATAAGCGCTCTCCCAGGGCTGGAAACCAACGACGAATGTGTTTAGAAACAAAACGAACAAAAATATTCTCCAGGACACATACAGGAAGAAAGACATTTTTGTATGCGTGTTCATGTATTACTAGCCTATAGACCAATTTTCAGTTGGTAAAAATGGTGATGTCTTTTGTGGGCGGAGCTTAGGTGGAGGCAGAACGATAGAACTCTGGCCGCTTCACTAACGTTTCACTGCGTTTGTGGTAGATGCACACATTTGTACTGTAACATGCTGATCTTGACATGCGTCAATGTGTCATAAAATGTTAAAAAATGTGAACGTCTGGGAGAATGAGTAGCGCAAACATATAGATCTGAATAAGAGTGCGACGCAAAAGAAGAGCTCTATACGGTTCAGTTTTCTTTGCGCGCACACCCAATCCGAAGTCTGCATGCAGACACACACAGCGCAAGGTCTGAACTGAGGTCTCTTTCGTGTCAGATAGGACAAATACACACAACATTATGTCTAAATGTCCGTTTTGGAGGGTAATCAGGTAAACTACGTCGGTTATGTCTCAAACAGTTGTGCATCCGCATGTCATTGGACATGAGCCGATGTCTTAAAGTGACAGTGGGTAATAAACCTAATGCGGTCTGCGTCATCAAGCAACAAAAGAAAAATAGAAGCATTCACTGCTCCTTAATAGCTTTTAATAAGGATTCATCATATTTCATTCATACAAATAAATATGTCTGCTGCTTGAAATAATAAAGAATGATGTATGCAAGTAGTTATAAAGAATGCATGTATTATTCATCGAAAAGAAGACTATTCTACTTTAGGAAAAGTGGTTTAATTTAATTTTAAGGTATTTCTTAAGTCACAGTAGTTAAATCTGTATCTATATTGCATGTTCAAACTTTAAAATCATTCATATTAACTGGTAAATAGACGTTTTCTCCGGGAGTATAGACCATTTCACAAGATGTAAACAACATTGGTCCAGAAACACTTCCTGTTTCAGTTTGTAACTGTGTTCTTTAATTCACATGTAAAGAAAACATCTTAAAGATGTTTGTTTAACTTTTTGATTCAGTTTTAAATGTTCTGTTGGTTGTATTTTATCCCAGCTTTCATGTAGTGTTAAAAAACTGAAACAGGAAGTGCTTCTGGACCAGTGTTGTTTACATCTTGTGAAATGGTCTATAATTATGGGTTTGTAAATTTTAGAGAAATTCTAAATTAATGCATAACAATTGAACTAAACCCGTTATATTTTAGTCATCTGAATTGTTTTAGTTTTAATCTAGTTTTAGTCGGTGAAATACAATGCTATTTTTGTTGACGAAATCTACAGTAGATAATATTGTATATAACTATATAGACGATAATAACAAAGTACAGAAACAACATTTTTATTTTGGAACGGTTGACATTCACTTTAGGACGGTTTAAAAAGATTTTCCGGACGGTTTCAGGACGGATGATTGATGTTTTAATAAGGATACTTGTCCGGTCATGCAAATCAAATTCTCTTTCACTTTCCCCTTCTTGTCCCGGACAAGCGTTGTGTCGAGCCCTGTATCTGCATGTGTGTAGTGTGTGTGTGTATTACCCTTTGCAGGACGGGCCGGAGGGCATGCTCAGGGTTTTCTGCAGGTTGAACTTCCCTCCTGCGATGCCGTCGGCAGACTGAGACATACTGATGCTGCGGTTACGGAAGAACTCAAAGCCTCCCGTAGAGCTCTGCTCCTGCACACACACACACACACACACACACACCTCCAATCAGCACATGAGCTTCAACACAAGCATCTTAACACCATGCACACACACATCTCCAATAATCACACAAGCATATCAACACCGGCATGCACACACACACGCACACCTACAATCATCATGCGAGCATCTCAACACCACACACACACACCTCCAATCATCACACGAGCATCTCAACACCATGCACACACACACACCATCTGTCGTCTGCTCACCTGTGTGGTGGGTGTGCTGGGCGGAGTCTCGCTCTCCCCTGAACCAATGGCCTTCAGGAAGCGGATCATGTGACGACACAGATCCCATTTGCCCTGTTCGAGGGCCGTGTTGAAGAGCAGAGTGGCGTGTTGACGGCTCACCGCTGGAACCTCCATGTTCTGCATACAAATTTGATAAAATAATAGCATTATTCAATTAGATGCCCTCTCTATTACGAAAAAGCTGTTTAGGACAGTCCCATTAGTTCATACAATCAGTGTAAATGATCAAATATGATATATTATATACATGATTATCAACACAAAACCTGAGTGAGAGGTCAAATAAACAATCGTATATTTAGACATGTGAAATGACTTCTTTTTCTATTAAGCTTTCTAGTTCAGATAAATGCTGTTCTTTGAACATTTTATTCATCAATAAATGTAATGTATGTAAATAACTGTTTTCAACATTGCTAATGAGAAATGTTTCTTGTGCATATGATCATGTGACACTGAAGACTGGAGTAATGATGCTGAAAATTCAGCTTTGATCACAGAGATAAATTACACTATACTATATATTCACATAGAAAACTGCTGACTTAATACATTTTACAGTATTTTTGCTGTTTGTGTATTTTTAATCAAATAAACAGTCTTGGTGAGCAGAAGAGACTTTTAAAACACGCCCCCCTCATTAGGATACGGAGAAAGAAATGTTGGAATAAATAAATGTGGAAATAAATAAATGTAGGCATAAAACCATAATTACATAAATGAATGTGGAAATAAATAAATGAATAAATGTATAAATAAATAAATAAATAAATAAACGTGTGAAAAAATACAATTATACATTATACAATATACAATACATTATACAATAAAAACATAAATACGGAAATAAAAGTAAAAATACTCAATTATTTGTACTTTTTTACATTTCTTTTTATATTTATTTAAGTATTTATTTTTTTATTTTTGCTTTTTTACATTTCTTCGTATATTTATTTATTTATTTATTTTTAAGTAAGTCAGCTTTGGCATTCCATAACCTGCAGGATGATCAGGTAATTGAAGACATTTCACAATATTTCTGTTGTTTTTTTGATATTTTTTAATTAAGCAGAAGAGTGAGCATAAGAGACTTCTTTTAAAAATGTTTAAAAAATCTTACCGATCCAAAACTTTTAACTGGTAATGTACTTGACTATAAAGGTTTTCCTGTCCATCTTACAAAATACTTCCTTCAATACTTCCTTACATGAAAATATTTTATATTATTTATTTCATTAGAGACCATTTAAAGTGGATTTAACTACTGAAGATGTAAAATAGATAAACATAAGTGTATTTTTAGTATTTTCAAAGTAAACATCAAGTGTTTTGTTCTTAAATTGTGTGTTTAGGCCTCACCTGCAGGATGATCAGGTACGACGCGGCCGTGTCCAGATCCTGCGCCATCAGACACTCCTCGAACAGGTCTTTGGGGTTCCCGACGGCGGCGAACAGGTAGTTCCACAGCGCGTACTCGGTCTTGCGCGCGCAGTGAACGATGGTCTGCAGGAACAGCGGGAACTCGGTGACAAACTTGGCCACAGTGGGCAGCAGCGGGTCGGGGATGGGCTCTCGAGACGTGGCCTCCTCCTCCAGAACCACGTGCACCATGAGCTCCAGCACGTGCGGGAAGTACGGCAGCATCGCGCACGACTGCGCTAGCATTAGAGCCTGCTCGCCCAGGTTACGCATTAGCAGCTGGCGTAAGATATGATGGAGATAGATCTGAGATGTTCGTTCCACCGTGCAAAACGGGAAGAGCGTCTCCAGTGGCTCGGAGGACGAGCTCAGGCCGTCGAATAGCATGGTTTCGTTGGATGCGCCGAGGATTAGCGCGTCCTCGAAGAGCACGGTTAGCGGGTAGATGTTGATGTGGAAGGGTAGCATGATGCGGCGCGACAGGAACGAGTGGGGTTTGCGGTGGTCTCTGGGAAACAGAGGGAGCCACACCTTCATCCCCGCCTCTCCGCACGAGAGCCACAGCGCCTCCATCAGGTGGCGTTTCTTGCGGTTGCTTCGGCAGGTGGTCCACACGTTCTCCACACACTGAGCCAGAACCACCGGCGCACAGAAAGGCTGACGGAGGGAGACAGGCATTAGTTAAGAGACAGAGAATGGATCACGATCACAGATTGAAATTTAGGGAGAGCAACAGAAAATTACAGAAAAGTCTTTGTGTAAGTGTCTTTGAGAGCAAAGGGAGATTGACTTGGTTATGTAATTTGCATAATGAAGTATATATGTCAACATATATTTGAAGTGCTTCATCAGAGTAATTTGATTCTCTGATTGATGGAGATTTCTCAGCAGAATCATGGGTAATGTAGTTTTTTTCACCAGGAATACTGCTGTTAAACATGATAACAGAATAACAAAAGCACATATCATTGATTAACAACCTCACGGTACGTCTGTCTTAAACATTTAAGTTATTATTAATTTGTCCTTATCAAGAAAAAGATTGAGATCTTTTCTCACAGAACCAAACTCTTGTGCTGTATTGGATCAGGATGATGGGCGGTGCATCAGACTCACCAGCATCGTCTGATTGGCTGGCGTGTCCTTCTCTCGCACCTGTGGCCCGGATCGGTCTCTCTGCAGCATAATCAGCTGACCAGCCAAATTCAAGAGGATACTCTCAGCCGAACAGGCCTGACACACACACACACACACACACACACACGGGCCATGAGTATGCATAAGTGTGAGCGTGAGTGTGTGCGTGTGTTTATGAGAACGTGCATGAGAGTGTGCATGTGAGAGTGTGCATGAGTTTGTGAGTGTGTGAGAGCGTGCATGAGTTTGCGTGAAAGTGTGCATGACTTTGTGAGTGTGTGCGTGAGAGTGCGTGAGTGTGTGAGTTTGCATGAGTTTGTGAGTGTGTGCGTGAGAGTGCATGAGTGTGTGAGTGTGCGCGAGAGTGCATGAGAGTGAGTGTGCATGAGTGTGTGAGAGTTTGCGCATGTGAGTGTGCATGAATGTGTGTGCATGAGTGTGAGTGTGTGTGAGAGTTTGTGCATGAATGTGCACATGTGAGTGCATGTGTGTGCATGAGTGTGTTTGCATGTGAGTTTGCATGAGGGTGCATGAGAATGTGAGTGTTTGTTTGTGTGTGTGAGTGCATGAGTGTGCATGAGTATGTGAGAGTGTGCATGAGTGTTTGAGTGTGTGAGAGTGCGAGCGAGTGCATGAATGTGTGAGAGAGTGTGCATGAGTGTGTGAGATTTTGCGAGTGTGTGCATGAGTGTGAGAGAGTGTGCATGAGTATGCCTGAGAGTGTGTGAGAGTGCATGAGTGTATAATTGAGAATGTGAGCATGAGTGTGTGTACCTGCTGCGGGGCTTTGAGTGTGATCCCGGTCTCGGTCCGCACTGACGTGAGGGTCACGGACACGACTAGACTAGGGTGAGGAATATAACGAGACATCGAAATCTCCTGCAACAGCTCCACACTGGCCGACGGGCTCGGGCTGATGAAACACACACACACACACCCGGAAACATCAAGACATGTTCAAGACAAATACAACAAACATCCATCCAACTTACAAAACACTTGACAAGTACAAGAAACAAATTCATCTAAAAAATGGCATTCTGGGTCATATTTATGGAACACCAAAGTGCTTGAAATAACAGAATTAAATATAATTATTCACCCTTTACACTCACCGGCCACTTTATTAGGTACACCTGTCCAACTGCTCGTTAACACTTAATTTCTAAGCAGCCAATCACATGGCGGCAACTCAGTGCATTTAGGCATGTAGACATGGTCAAGACAATCTCCTGCAGTTCAAACCGAGCATCAGTATGGGGAAGAAAGGTGATTTGAGTGACTTTGAACGTGGCATGATTGTTGGTGCCAGAAGGTCTGAGTATTTCAGAAACTGCTAATCTACTGGGATTTTCACGCACAACCATCTCTAGGGTTTACAGAGAATGGTCCGAAAAAGAAAAAACATCCAGTGAGCGGCAGTTCTGTGGGCGGAAATGCCTTGTTGATGCCAGAGGTCAGAGGAGAATGGCCAGACTGGTTCGAGCTGATAGAAGGGCAACAGTGACTCAAATAACCACCCGTTACAACCAAGGTGGGCAGAAGAGCATCTCTGAACGCACAGTACGTCGAACTTTGAGGCAGATGGGCTACAGCAGCAGAAGACCACACCGGGTGCCACTCCTTTCAGCTAAGAACAGGAAACTGAGGCTACAATTTGCACATGCTCATCGAAATTGGACAATAGAAGATTGGAAAAACGTTGCCTGGTCTGATGAGTCTCGATTTCTGCTGCGACATTCGGATGGTAGGGTCAGAATTTGGCGTCTACAACATGAAAGCATGGATCCATCCTGCCTTCTATCAACGGTTCAGGCTGGTGGTGGTGGTGTCATGGTGTGGGGAATATTTTCTTGGCACTCTTTGGGCCCCTTGGTACCAATTGAGCATCGTTGCAACGCCACAGCCTACCTGAGTATTGTTGCTGACCATGTCCATCCCTTTATGACCACAATGTACCCAACTTCTGATGGCTACTTTCAGCAGGATAATGCGCCATGTCATAAAGCTGGAATCATCTCAGACTGGTTTCTTGAACATGACAATGAGTTCGCTGTACTCAAATGGCCTCCACAGTCACCAGATCTCAATCCAATAGAGCATCTTTGGGATGTGGTGGAACGGGAGATTCGCATCATGGATGTGCAGCCGACAAATCTGCGGCAACTGTGTGATGCCATCATGTCAATATGGACCAAACTCCCTGAGGAATGCTTCCAGCACCTTGTTGAATCTATGCCACGAAGAATTGAGGCAGTTCTGAAGGCAAAAGGGGGTCCAACCCGTTACTAGCATGGGGTACCTAATAAAGTGGCCGGTGAGTGTATATTGATTGGCATTTTCCATTATTATGACAAAACTCTTAAGGAAAATTAAGGATTGATCCATTAGTTCTTTCAGAAAAGAAAAGAGACTAAAGAAAAAAGCTAGCTTTTAATATATATTTTATATAAAAATATAAATGCATTAAAAAACACTAAACTATACATAAATAAATAAAAATAAATGATATGTAAATAGCATTTCTAAATGTGTCTTTTCTTGTCAGATTATTAGCGTTTTTAATCATATAAATGTAGCATCAGTGAATTTCATGATGACAGGGTTTAATAACAATTGCTGGCTTTTTAACGGATTATTTCAAAATTAACTATCCCATTAATTCCAGATGATCTATGTCAGTGTGTGTGTGTGTGTGTGTCACCTGTCGTGCCGTCTCTCGATGCTGTACAGGCAGATAGAGCAGTCGGCCCGGAACAGAATCACCACGTTACGAAACACGTTCAGCAACAGCGTGTCAGCGTGAAGTTTGGTGACGCTAGCAAACGCATTATCCAGGTTAGCCGAGCGCACGTACAGCCTCAGCTAAAGCAATGAAAACACAAGACAGTCTATCACACACACACACACACACAGATCAATACTGAGACAACAGAGGAACATTAATGCAAGAGTTCTTGCCTCTTCCTGTCGGTCGATGAAATTATAACACGCAATAACAACAAAGTCGTTCCACCACGCGAGACCGCCCGTCACCGCCATATTCTGCTCCTGAAAACACATCATCTTAGAAAGTTCATCACAGGCTTTGACCTTTTAAATGAAAAAAACACTGATGGAGGGGCGTTTACCTGTGTGACGTTACCGAACAATTTCCATTTCCTGGAATATAAGGAATAATGTGCAAATCCACGGCGACCAGCGACGGCCACACACTGACCAGACCAGTCTATCGCTGCAAACTAAACACACACACAGCAAAATTAAACCATTCATTTCATGAAAAACTGCATTTTTGGAACCAAATGTAACAGTGAAAAGCTCATTAACATATGACCATCCACATTTGCATATCTATATCTATAGAGAGCATTAGTGCCCGCCCACTGCCCACGGGACTTTTCCCATTAACTTTTACCCCCAAAGGGATTATAAAAAGTTTGTTGAGTTATACGCCATGAACTGAGGCAAACATCTACAAGGAGAATCATAACATTACAAACTTACAAATAAAGTGAAACTCTGAAACATACAAAATGAAGAATTACAAGTATATAGACCGAGGCATACGCATAAATATATCGCCTTGATTAATCAAATGTACACTACAGTCACAAAAGTTCAAAAAGGGGTCGGTAAGATTTTCTGCTCACCAAGGCTGCATTTATTTGATCAATTGCAAAATTGTGCAATATTATTACAACGTTTAACAGCTTTTTCTATGTGAATATACTGTATAGTCTTACGACCCTGCGTTCCGCTTGCTCGCCTACTGGTGGCGTAGTTGCTCTGAGAGCGTGGGAGATTGCACACACCTGCTACCTGATTATCTTTAATTATGAAGAGGATAAAACCTTGGATGTAAAATCTCCTCTTCACTTCGTCCAGGGGATTGACGGCCTCTGGCGAAGTCATTTGACCCTTTGATTTACAGCCCATACCAACCTTCTTTTACTCCCCAACTGGATTATGATTTTGCCCCTTTTGATTTGAAACCCTAGACTTTGTTATTTTTCGTTAATTGTGATTTTTGAGGACAAATAAAATCTTGCAAGTCATTTTGTGTACTTGTTTACTTTATGTACGGCCGAAACGAGCTGGCCGTAACAATAGTAAAGTGTGATTTATTCCTGTGATCAAAGCTGAATTTTTAGCATCATTACTCCAGTCTTCATTGTCACATGATCCTTCACAAATCACACTAAAATGATGATCTGATGCTAAAAAAACAGTGAATATTTTTGTGGAAATTACGATATATTTTTTAACAGGATTCTTTGATGAATAGAATGTTTAAAAGAACAGCATTTATTTGAAATATAATCTTTTGTAATATTATAAATGTCTTTATTGTCGTCTTACTGCATTCTTGTTGAATGAAAGTATTGATTTTACTGACCCCAAACTGTTGAATGCTAGCTTCTATTGAGATGTATATACACTGCACATATAGCCATTAAAGTCATATTGCATGTTTCATGAGGTAACAAATGTCAGTCCCTCCAGAAAAACGCGATTATGCGATCGCTGAATTCAATGCAAAATCAGCCAAAGTCCGCATATTTATGCGGGGGCCGCATTTTTTCAAATACGCCGCACTTTCGCCGCATAAATTGCCGATTTCCGTGCAAAATATGCGGGGTTTGCATAATTTCATAATCCTCGCATTTTCGTTGCAAAAAAAGTCACATGTATCTTAGCAGAAAGTTGAAAAATGTTGCGTTTGCTTCACACAAGAGCAGCCATTTCCCCCTGTTTCCATGGGAACGTTATGAAGTGACGCAATTACGCGACGCCAGACAGATATTGGGGGAATCACTTTTTTTTCTCTTTTTCATCAAACCGCAATTTTTGCAAGTTCCCTCAATTTTTGCAAATTCCTGCAATTTCATCGCATAAAATTGCATAAATATCCCGCATATTCCATTGCATTTTTAAAGAAAACAGGCCGCATAATCAATCAATTTTTTGCCCACAACAATCACAAAAAAACTCTGCGTTTTTCTGGAAGGACTAAATACTATTATGGTAAATGTTATATATAAATCGCAAATTTTTTCACAAATTTTTTGAAATTACCACCACAAAATCAGTCATTTTGATCGCAAAAATCACAAAAAAAAATCGTGAAATCCTGGAGGGACTGAAATGTATTGTGGTGCACATATTATAGATCATTCAAGGTTTAAACAGTTTAAAATAGTCTTAATAGTATAAAACAGTATGAAGTGTTTAGAACATGAGCCCAGTGTGGCGGCTCTTACCCTGATGGGCCAGTTCGTCTCCAGATATGTGCTGTGGATCTGCAGAGGAGGAACAGAAGCACATTTCAGAGTCTGAAATGGAAGATCTTGAGTGTGGGATTGAGCTGGGAGTGTGTGATGACATACCTGAACAACCTGCCAGTGCTTGTGTCCCAGTAAAGTGCTAAGGCCCTGAGAGACAGGCGTGGAGGCCGAGGGCCGGTGCAGAGGAGTCCCAGTGTCCCGAGACGAACTCTTGTCCGACCCGCTGTGAGCCTGAGTCGGGTCTCCACAGGTCAGATAAAGACGGTCCTCTCCCTGCAGCAGCACCTGCTCCTGGTTACTCTGATCACACACACACACACACACAGACAAGCAAGCACACATACACACACAGGCGCACGCAAGCAAACAAACACGCATGGACACACAAACTAATAGATTATTAAAATGAAAGGTTGTATTTGTTAACATTCATTAATGCACTGTGAACAAACAAGAAAAGCTGGATTTTTATTAACTAACATTAATAAAGATACAAAAAATTTATTGTTCATTGTTAATTCATGTTAACACATTAAAAAAATGTTAACTAATGAACCTTATTGTAAAGTGTTACCAAATAATCTAAAACTACATCTGGCCACATTAAATATATTTCTCTCAACTTAAGAGTCCTAAAGAAGCTGAAACACATCAGACTCTTAACCGCACATTTAATCCTGAACTCTGATCACACGTCACGTGCAGGATGAGCAGTGTAACACTGAGGCATTAAACCAGTGACTGTGTGTGTGTGTGTCTCACCGTGCAGGGGTTGACGGTCAGCGCGCTCTTGATGAACTGGAACTGCAGGATGCTGGCCTGTTGGAGCTTCTCGTCTCCTTCTGCTTCCACAGGAGTCGAGTCTGAGCTGCTGATCACCCACAGGTGGTACCCCTCCACACCCCAGCTCTGAACACACACACACACACATTCAGCATCCAGAGCAACTTCAGGCCAGTTCAAACTGACTGACAGACCATCAGCAGATTACAGCGGCCACTTCTCAGACACTCAGCTCGTTCGAGCGGTGAACACACTGATTCTATCGCATTCAAGCGATACACTAGAGCTGCATGATATCAAAGAAAAATGTGATGACTCATTAAATAATGCAATATTCGATATGCAGTACGATAATGCTTAAAGTGTGTAAAATAAACTTAAATTATCGGTTTCACATCCTTTTCGTGACAAGAAAACATCCCTACAACTTCTAAAGTGAACATCAGTGTTTTACTGAAGAACTGTTATTAACATCAGTGTAAAGCACGGGGTTCAGCTTATTCTACATTAGGGTTATTATAACTTGAATAATCAAATGTAAAAATGCAACACTGCTCAACAGTTCTGTTGGTTTTGAGTGGAGTTGTGTTGAATGGAGTTGTGTCGGTTTTCAGTGGAGTTGTGTCGGTTATGAATGGACTTGTGTCTGTTATGAATGGACTTGTGTCGGTTACGACTGAGTCGTGACGGTTACGAACGGACTTGTGTTGGTTATGAACGGACTTGTGTTGGTTATGAACGGACTTGTGTCGGTTATGAATGGACTTGTGTCGGTTATGAACGGAGTCGTGTTGGTTATGAACGGAGTCGTGTTGGTTATGAACGGACTTGTGTTGGTTATGAACGGAGTCGTGTTGGTTATGAACGGAGTCGTGTTGGTTATGAACGGACTTGTGTCGGTTATGAACGGACTTGTGTCGGTTATGAACGGAGTCGTGTTGGTTATGAACGGAGTCGTGTTGGTTATGAACGGACTTGTGTTGGTTATGAACGGAGTCGTGTTGGTTATGAACGGAGTCGTGTTGGTTATGAACGGACTTGTGTCGGTTATGAACGGACTTGTGTCGGTTATGAACGGAGTCGTGTTGGTTATGAACGGAGTCGTGTTGGTTATGAACGGACTTGTGTTGGTTATGAACGGAGTCGTGTTGGTTATGACTGGAGTCGTGTTGGTTATGAACGGACTTGTGTTGGTTATGAACGGAGTCGTGTTGGTTATGAACGGACTTGTGTTGGTTATGACTGGAGTCGTGTTGGTTATGAACGGACTTGTGTTGGTTATGAACGGAGTCGTGTTGGTTATGAACGGAGTCGTGTTGGTTATGAACGGAGTCGTGTTGGTTATGAACGGAGTCGTGTTGGTTATGAACGGACTTGTGTTGGTTATGAACGGACTTGTGTTGGTTATGACTGGAGTCGTGTTGGTTATGAACGGACTTGTGTCGGTTATGAACGGAGTCGTGTTGGTTATGAACGGAGTCGTGTTGGTTATGAACGGACTTGTGTTGGTTATGACTGGAGTCGTGTTGGTTATGAACGGACTTGTGTCGGTTATGAACGGAGTCGTGTTGGTTATGAACGGACTTGTGTTGGTTATGAACGGAGTCGTGTTGGTTATGAACGGAGTCGTGTTGGTTATGAACGGAGTCGTGTTGGTTATGAACGGAGTCGTGTTGGTTATGAACGGACTTGTGTTGGTTATGAACGGACTTGTGTTGGTTATGACTGGAGTCGTGTTGGTTATGAACGGACTTGTGTCGGTTATGAACGGACTTGTGTTGGTTATGAACGGAGTCGTATTGGTTATGAACGGAGTCGTGTTGGTTATGACGGAGTCGTGTTGGTTATGACTGGAGTCGTGTTGGTTATGACTGGAGTTGTGTTGGTTGTGAATGCAGTTGTGTTGGTTATGATTATGAATGCAGTTGTGATGATGTTGAATAAAGATCTTGTTTGCACACTCACCATAGAGCTGATCTTTAGGGGCTCCTTCTTCGTGCCGTCTGAGCGATAACTGCACCAGGAACAACAACACTTTAACATGAGCTTTCATCACTTCACGTGAACTAACACTGACAAACACTTCCACAGCATTCATTAACCTTAACTTCAACATTTACGAACACATTGTTAAGATCATAAGTTGTTTCTGTTAACTAACATGAACATAAGCATTTTTATTAACTCACATTAATAAATGCTATAACAATATATTGCTCATTGCTAGTTAATGCATTAACAAATGAAGTAAAATGCAGACATGAAATAAAGCAGTATTTTTATCAACGGATTAATCAAGATTAATACTGTAACAAATGTATTGCTTCTTGTTATTTAATGTTAATGGGACATTTTTGTTAAGTTAGGGCAACCATTTTTTTAATGTAAACACTTTATTTGTGAATGGTGGTAACTTATCATATTGTTTTGTTATACATGTCAATTATGCACTTTGAGTGCAGAGAAAAGCGCTGTATAAATGTAATGAATTAATTATGTTGTTTGTCAAGGAATTAATAAAAATCAGACACCAGTGGCCGATAGCAAAAATTGCTAAGACTAATCTTACTAGTTAGTCTAATTTTTGGTTAAGACTGTTGTCATTTGAATATGAAAATAAGACTGATTAGCCTAACCGAGGTCTTATTACTTCACAATATTACAAGAAAGTAGCAAGACTTTGCAGGCCAATCATCTGGTCAAAGATAAAATGCTCTAAAATTTAATCTCATACTGTATCGTAGAGAAATGCTAGCTGATCTGATCTTTCATGACGAGACTCCATATATTAATGCAAAAGTTAATGCCCAAACGGATCTTCATTGAAGTTGACGTTGTTATTGCAGAATGCAGATGAAATATAACATGAATAACATTCATATTTTTTAACAGCTTAATTGTTGATTATCAGTCACTCAAACCCCTTTCAGTAACCTCTCTACTTAACCATTGGTCACACACATTCGCACAACACTTTTACTCGTATTTGTAGTTCTGTACTGAATCTTCTCCAAAGTGCAATGGATCATGGGTAATATTAGCCGTTATAGTGAACACGGATCCACACTAATCCACTGGAAATAGTAGATCATCCGGGCATACTCTTTTCAACATACTAATATGTGGGACACACTAATTTTAATCTCACACACTGTGTTTAGGATGGATAGTGTGAACATTGAGACATAGGGACAGCGATGAAGTCATGTGACTCACGCGAAGTCCTCTCCGAGTGTGCAGATGAGATGAGCCCCGAACACACTCCACAGGGACAAGCCCCCACAGTCCCACGTCACCATTGCAACGCTGCAGTCGGGGGACCAGCGGATCATCTTCACCGGGCCCGTTTTATTCCACACATCTGGGACAAGAGAGAGAGAGGGAGAGCGAGAGAGAGAGGGACAAGAGAGCGAGTTGGAGTTAAAAACCAGCTTCACACACACTAAACCAGGGGAGATGTTTCCAGGAAAGGAAAATGAGGAGCAGCAAATGGAAAGTAAACTGGAATGGGAATTTTTTTTTCTCTGAATATCTTTATTTTTGTTTTTACTAGTTAATGCCAGCAGAATATGCAATTAGCAGGGTTCCCACAGCTCAAATTCATGGACCTCGTCCTCACCCTCTGGTCCTCTTCATTTAGGGGTCACACTCGACTCCGGCACGGTCAAAAGTGCCCGAAGCCTTGAAATGTAACTTCTTTTTTTTTTTTTTCAGGAAAACCAATGAAATATATTTTTGTTCAATAATATTTTATGATTATTATTTCGAATTTTGAAGGGATTTTATGATACTATACAATATTTATACAATTTGAATAAGCTATTTTTTTTTTCATTAGAATTTTTTTTTTTTTTTTAATAAATGCAATATTTCACATTAAAATAGAGTGGAGACTTTAAAATCCATTTTTGAAGTGAGAAATTGCCATCTGGAGGCGTTAAAAAAAGAAAACCTGTGTAATGTCCTGTGAGCACCTGTATATCTCCCGTTATAAAAGCTAGGGCGGCTTTTTTTTTTTAGGAGGAGAAAATCATGGGAGGAGAAAATCATGGGAAAATCTTTTTATTTTAAAGTGAACTACTGCGTTTAGGATGGAAAGTGTGAACACTGAGACGCAGGGACAGTGATAACGCAACAAAAAAGTTTAATCAGTAGCATTAATTAATTACAATAGTTAACGTGAATTAAATAAATGCTGTAAAAGTATTTTAATTGTTAATTAGTTGATAGTTAATAATATTATTTTCAACATTCAAAAATACATAAAAATCAAACGTTGCTTCTCCAAAAAAGCTACAAATTGTATCTGGCCTCATTCAAATCTTCATAAGAATCAACAGAATATATTTTTTAAATAGTTACAATAATCAGAAATTTGATTAAAACTCTCAAACTACAACTGGGAAAATCCGTCTGAGCCTCGATGTATTGTGGATCAGCAACCGCGTTATCTGGATCTGACACCAGCACTTCCTGTTGTTACAACTGTTTATCTCAGTGGATCAGGAAACAAATGTGACAGACTGACACTTCTAAGGAAATCTAGTCCGTGATTTGAGGGTTGACGATGTGATTCCCACAGTCACGTCACCTTTATTTATACAGCGCTGTTATAATACAGATTGTCTTAAACAATAATAATAATGCAACAAAGCTAATGTTTCCAGAAGAAAACAGCGTCACAGTCCAGCTCAATGATGAGGGCTGTGCAAAAATGAATTGCGATTAATCGCATCCAAAATAAAAGTCTGTGTTTACATAATATATTTGTGTGTGCTGTATATAATTATTTTGTATATATAAATACACACACATGCATGTATATATTTAAGAAAATGTGTTATTCATATAAAAATTTATATTTATATAATATAGATTATGTATTTTTATATATACAGAATTTAAGCACAAATAATTCTTAAATATATACATGCATGCATAGGTATTTAAATATACAAAATAATTATATACAGCACACTCAAATATTTTATGTAAACACAGACTTTTATTTTGGATGTGATTAATCGCAATTAATTTTTGCACAGCCCTAATATATATATATATATATATATATATATATATATATATACACATCATCGTCCAGCTCTGTTCAGCTCTCATATAATGCTGTCAATGCAAGAGATCAATAATGTTGTTGAAATATCCTCAACTAAGCAAGCCAAAAGCACGCACACACACACAAGCCAGAAGGGGGCGTCACTGGATCAGAGAGGATTGTGGGTCTGAGGTTAAATAAAGCCCCCTCCTGCATGAATGTATCTGAGGGTCGCAGGAGTGACTGAAGGAACGTCTCACCTGGGTAGTGTTTAGGGGTTAACTCCAGTTTATGAGAGAGCTGCATGGATCCCGTCGAGCTGTCAATCATGTAGACCAACACTGACCCGCTGCAACACACACAATAAACATGATTTCACACACACTTCTGGTGATCTGAGATGATATCACTCACAAAAAGAGCGATTTTATTAACTGACGAAATATATCTAGACTGAGAATAACCACTAAAATATTACTTACTACATTAGATTTATAATGTTACAATAGATTATATCAAAAGAATCCTAAAATAAAATGTTTCACAATTTCGACACAAATATCAAGTGTTTTCAACATTGATAATAATCATAAACGTTTATAACATCAAATTATCATATTAGAGTGATTTGTGAAGGATCATGTGACACTGAAGACTGGAGTAATGATGCTAAAAAATCCACTTTGATCAAAGGAATACATAACACTTTATATATATATATATATATATATATATATATATATATATATTCATGATTTACATTGGAATAATATTTCAGTGTTTTTACAAAATGAGCAAATATTAAAAAAAAAAAAAAAAAAAATCTCCCCAACCCCAAAGCTTTGAACACTGGTGTTCTTCATTACTGTTGAACACTGTATAACTCCTCTGATCTATAGATCGACTGGATCCTCCACTGGGGAATAACAGCCACACGTCTGATATAAACATACCACTGCAACATGACTCTCTCTAACACACACACACACACACACACACACGTCTGATATAAACATACCACTGCAAAATTACTCTCTCTTACACTCATACTCACACAATACTAATGACACAACACACCTTATAGACACACAGTCAGACACACATCCACACACCCACAGACAGACACATCACACCTGATACACAGAATCACAGACAGACAGTACAACACACACACACACACACACACACACACACACACACACACATCACACAGAATCACAGACAGTCAGACAGATAGACAAGACAACACACACACACACTCACACCATCAGATACACACAATCACAGACAGACAGGACAACACACACACACAGACACATGACACCTGATACACTCACAATTACACACAAAGTGTTGTGAAAAAAAAAAAAATCACAACACTAATGACACGGATCACACCTGATACACACACACACACACACACACACGACACTCACACAAAGACACACACCTTGCGCAGCCGAAGGCCATTAGTCTGTATTTGTTGTTGACGGCGACACACGTGCCATCAGAGACATCAGTGGCCCAAACGCCCTGAAGCTGCTGCAGAGAAACACACACAGACACACACAACATTAGTGCATGAACACAAAAAGCCAAAAAGTGTCTTTTTGAAAATCATAACGCAATCTAAATGTATTTAGCATTCTGAGACATGAGCGTAAACGTTCTCCTCTGGTCAGTCTTTCAGATAAACTGTGTTCGCGTGTGTGTGTGTGTGTGTCTGAGGTGCGATTTGTGTTGTGTGCACGTGTGTGTGATTTGTGTTGTGTGTAAGTGTGTGTCTCAGGTGTGATTTGTGTTGTGTCTGTGTGTGAGTGTGTATATACACCTTGAGAATCATCTCTGAAGAGTTTAAAGAAGGATATTCTGAACGTACAGTATCAGTGAATCATCACACGTGTGTGTTTGTGTAGTCTCACGTCAGTGGCGAGTCTGTTTGCAGTCGGCGTGATGAATCCGAGTCTCCCGTCATCAAACACGACAGCAAACCCGTCCAGCGTAGAGCAATACTCCATATCCCGAATGTAAACGCCCTCCAGGTCCAAACACGGCCCTCCTACACACACACACACACACACACACACACACACACATCATAATTCAGATCCACTGCTGAAGATTCAGTTCGTGTCAGTGCAGGAATCAGTCAATGTTGACACACACACACACGGGAACTGACTGGATTCACCCGAACACGTTCACTGGTCAGGAGGATCATCACGGGTCAGACAGTATATAAAGACTGTACACTTTACAAAAAGGTCTCGTTAGTAATAATACACTAATATTGCATAACTAAAAAAATTAGCTTTCAAAAAACAGCCTTTTGCAAGATTAGTCTAAGCGGTTTGTGCTGTCGGCCACTGGTATTTATTATTGGTAATGCATATGTTAATGTCAGATTGTTTAATGAATTGCTTGACAAACACAGTAGACGTTTATAATAGGGCTGTGCCGGTAAACCTGTGGCTGAGTAGCACCGACGCTGCTCCGCCAAAACACTGTTTTTTGTATGTGAACGCTGTTTTACATAAAAGAGCATATTGCAGGTAAAAAAAAATAAAAAATATAGATAACCTTGTATGAAAATACCATATAAAAAGTTAATGCAGGATTTAAAATGTTTTAAAGGGGGGGTTGACTGCTTTTTTTCTTTGCATGATTGTGTTTATGAGGTGCAATATAACATGTATTCGTGGTTTTTCGTTTTTAAAAAGTCTTATTTTTCATAAACTTCACGTTTATTGTCAGCCGCGCTCTCCTCTGTCCTCGAACGAGCGGTGAAACCACTCCCTCAGAAACACATAGTGGGCTCAGATTGGTTAGCTTGGTCCGGCGTGTTGTGATTGGCTAAACTGAGCTCCGGTCCAGATGTAAATATGCGTCGAACTGCAGTATCAGTATGACCCAGAATCAGACCGAGAAAGCCGCGATGAAGCGAGTCAAACAGAACCTCACCACACACGGCTCTTAATACACGTTTCTGAATGATAATTTGCTACATTTTTTAACTTTATAAACGTTTGTTTAACACAATAGCATCTGACTGGCAACAATAGCAACTGACTGGCTGCTAATGTCATACTCAAACAGCAGTGGCAAGTTTATGTTCTTGAGAAAATAACGTAATAAAACATATATACATGAAAAATACATTTACAACATTAGCACTTATACAAAATTCATGTTTGTACGCATTTGTCGTAGACACAAAATAGCATATAATAGCCTAGTGGCAATAAAGCCAGCGCTGGCATTTGAAAAAAACTAAAACACAAGGCTACGTCTGGAATTATACATGCAAATACATTTAAAATGGTTAAAGGGTTAGTTCACCCAAAAATGAAAATTCTGTCAGTATTTACTCACCCTCATGTTGTTCCAACCCCGTAAGACCTTCGTTCATCTTCGGAACACAAATTAAGATATTTAGGATATTAAGATCGCTCCTGCATACAGTCCATAGGCTTCTTGAGGGACTGGCTCTTGCTGTCCCCGAAAAGTCATTAAAGACATCGTTAAAATAGTCCAAGTGACTACAGGGGCTCAATCTTAAGTTTATCAAACGACGAGAACACTTTTGTGCGCAAAAAAACAACAAAAATAACGACTTTATTTCAACTATTGGTTTATTTCTCCCTCTGCGCGAGTCAGGTTACTAGTTTAATAGCGTAAGCTTCTGTTATTGTACGTCACACGCATCACACACACATGACCAGCGTCGGCCAATAGTGAGCCTACGTGTGACGTAGCTCTACGCAATCAAACTACGTTAACTGACTACAGGCCCATGGAGAAGGAAGTGAATAGTTGAAATAAAGTCGTTATTTTTGTTGTTTTTTTGCGCACAAAAGTGTTCTCGTCGTTTGATAAACTTAAGATTGAGCCCCTGTAGTCACTTGGACTATTTTAACCATGTCTTTAATGACTTTTCGGGGACAGCAAGAGCCAGTCCCTCAAGAAGCCTATGGACTGTATGCAGGAGCGATCTTAATATCCTAAATATCTTAATTTGTGTTCCGAAGATGAACGAAGGTCTTACGGGGTTGGAACAACATGAGGGTGAGTAAATACTGACAGAATTTTAATTTTTTTTTTAGAAAATGAGTATGACGAAGTCAGGCTAATGTCATGCCCTAAATAGAGGCAACTTGTAATTGAAAAACAAAATTGGTTGTTTAGATACTCAAATCTTTCTGTTTATGTTATAACCCAGGTGAAGAATATATATAAAAAATGTACCCGAGTATGCTTTTAGTACAATAGAAATATACTGAAGTATAGTTTTTATTCATTTAATAGTATAAATCTACCCTAAACATACTAATGTCTGCTGGCCTGTTATAGGATCATAATAATCTGTAGAATATTGTGAGCACAGTGTATATCGTTAGCGAACGTGTATATCTATAAGCACGTCTCTCACCTAAAGGCACCTGTCCTGTTCTCCACTGGTTCTCCTCACACCACAACTCAATTTGTCTCTGACCGTTCTGTCTGACATTATCCTGGCCTGTCCCTATTCTCTTTAGCATTGCAGGCTCATAACTTTATGGCTTGATCCATCATACGAGTATTTCCTCAGCATCAGAAATGTCATTGCGATCCATTGTTTTCCTGTTGTTTGAATCGGCGACTCTCCCGCTTGTTGCGTCACGCCCATTTTCAGACGCGGAAGTAAAATGTTCAAAAACAAAAACGACTCCAGAAACTTCTGTAGCGTATTTATAAGTATATTTTAAAGAAAATATAGTTCCTACATTGTTTTTCTATGCATTGACTCGTTGGGTCCTCTAACCTGAAATATGCCCTTTAATATTATGACAGGAGTGAAGCAAAATTAATAAGTTTGCGATTAAACGTTACATCGCAGCAAAATGTTTAGATTCGAGACGAATAAGAGAGTTGTGTGTGAGCATTGAGTATATGACCTCTGGAGTGTGTATATAGAGTGTGTATATAGTGTGTGTGACCTCTGGAGGACTGCAGGTCGAGGGAGAAGGGAACGGTGCACAGGTTCACTGCTCTTCTGCCGTTACTGACACTGTCCCAGTGCAACATGTGGAGGAAACCATCAGCCGTCGCCACTAACAGATCCTCCTGCAGCGTCTGCAGACTGACACACACACACACACTTCACATCAGATCAAGCCTCCAACACACCATAAGGTCACATTCTCTCTCTCTCTCACACAGACACGAGAGTTTCCAAGTTACCAAAACACCGTTAGGTCACATTTATACACACACATACTGGTTATTTTTATTGCAAGAGTTGTTCTGTACATTTTCTACCACTTAGAATTTATATTCAAACTTCTTCATCTAGATTCCAGGTTTGCTCATTTTTTCACATTAGGATTATTATTGCTAACTAAAACTATAAACAATGTTTTTGTTTACCGTGTGTGAGTGCGTGTGTGTGTCTGTGTATTAGAGTGTGAATTTGTGTGTTTAAGTACCAGCTGATAGGAGCCTCCAGGTCGACAGGTTTCTTCATCTCTAGAGTCAGAGCTGGAGCGCACTGTTCCTCCTTATAGCCCGGAGTCACCTTAACACGAGCACTGCCCCTGACACAAACACACACGGAAGAATATCATAATCTGTTAAGTCAGTGTGTGATTTAGTCTGAATGCTTCATTACACACAACACACACCTCATTATAAACACAGTCCCAGCCCATAAAAAGCATTTCATATTCCTTGATATTTACAAATGAAAGCTGAAAACAACACTAGCACAGCGACACACACGCAGACAGACAGAGTGTGTCGAACATGTCCTGACTTGAAAAACGCCATCCTGAACACTGACATTTGAAGATCTGAAGACTGTATGTGTGTTAGGGGACACATGTAACCCCAGAGTAGAGGTGAGCGATGGGGCTGTCGTGGTGAAGGATGTTCCCTTGCGGTAATTTTGAGTCTCAATAGCGCAATATATTATCGCCATTTATATATTCATTTCCATTTCTTCTTTTAGCTGTCGCTTTTATCCAAAGCGACTTACAATTGCTATATATGTCAGAGGTCGCACGCCTCTGGAGCAACTAGGGGTTAAGTGTCTTGCTCAGGGACACATTGGTGGATTCGAACCCGGGTCTAGATTCATTTATATTATTTCCCGCTATATACATTAGCATTACGATGTGGTCAACATGCACAAAACCGAGTACATTTTCAGTAAGCAATGTAACATTGTCTCTGCACATTGAAAGGCCGTCACTCAGAGCGCAGTCACATTGTTGTGGCAACCAGGGTTTCTGCAGGAATCTTCAAATAAATTTTAAAATTTTAATACAAATATTTATATAAATTTTTATATTTATTTATATTTTATATATATATATATATATATATATATCGCTTTAATATTTACTAAATTTAGCATATCGCACTACTGAGACACTCAAAATTACCGCAAGGGAACATCCTTCACCGCGACAGCCCCATCACTCACCTCTGGGGTTACATGTGTCCCCCAAATAATGAAGTAGGACACACACGCACACAGTCTTCAGATCTTCAAATGTCTTCAAGTGTTTAGGATGGCGTTTGTCAAGTCAGGATGTGTTCGACACACTCTGTCTGTGTCACGGTGCTCGTGCTGTTTTCAGCTTTCATCTGTAAATATCAAGGAATATGAAATGCTGTTTATGGGCCTAGGCTGTAGTGATGGGAAGTCCGGTTCTTTTCCGCGAACCGGTTCTTTCGGACAGTTCGTTTTAATGAACCGGTTCAAAAAACCGGTTCACCAGTTCTTTTACGTCATCACGTAATGACGTCAATTCTATCATCCCGGCGGATAAAAATACTTCAAATTAAAGGCATTTGTAATCACAACTTCAGTTAAATAATAGTATGCATTGTCATAATCATCTTGGATAAGTTTCTTACATTTACATTTTGAAAAGGAACCCTGCTGCAGCCTAGGCGATGTGCTAACGTTGATGTTTTACATATTTTAAATATATATAATGCATAAACGGTCTTCATCATTTTATTTGTTATTAAATAAACTTACATTTCGCCGATTCGCCCTCTCATTTAAGTCCTGGGTTCACCCGTACTACTGCGTGCTCATGTATCAGCACAGGGTCAGCCGGCCGAAAGAAAGTTCTGTTCAGAGACGGTGCTATCACGCATGCGCAGTATCTCCAGCTCATCGGTTCACCGTATCGAACGTGTCCGAAAGAAACAGTTCTCGGTTCTGTACTAGTGATTCAAGAACTGCAACAACCAGTTCTCGACTCGAGAACCATAGCATAGCTGTGTGCTGAGCTGAAACCTGAATATACAGTCGACAAAACTAAAAAATAGATGCATGTCTGTCTCCAATATAGCCTTCTGTAGCCTATACAGTATATATGCATCATGTTTATAATGTGTTAACATAACGAATTAAACGTATATGTTTAATTCGTTATGTTAACACATTATAAACATTTACTAAGCAGTGCACCAAACCTTGGCAAGAGTTTACATCAATGATTTATATTGTTACTTAGAAATTAAATGAGCTAGCTGTTCCTGAAAATATTATTTAATAATAAATGTTTAGTAGTTTGACAGTTTTAGAATCCAATCATTGTTTCCAATCGTTAAAATAATACAGTAATACAGTAATGTGATAAACATGTTTCCAAAATGTTTTATTTTGTTACACTTACTGATGTTCAACTAAAGACTTGGAAACGTACATTTCGTCCCTCAGAAAAAAATGCACGCATGCTCAGCTCATCAACTCATCAGTTCTCAGTATGTCGAACGTGTCCGAAAGAAACAGTTCTCGGTTCTGTACTGGTTATCCGACCGCTGTACCTGTATGTTCGGTAGTACACGCATGCGCAGTATCAGCTGCTCGTGCTCATCACTTCTCTCAGCACCAACATATGTCTCCGTTCAGTGAACTTTTTGAGTTACTGAATAAAATGTACTAATGGATATTGGTTTATTTCGATTCGGAGGGACTGTCAGGCATGTCTGAAAGTGAGTAACCTTAGTAACTTGTGGTTTAGCGCTGACGCAAGACGCGAACTGTTTCGAACGATTCAGTCCGATTTAGTGTACTGGTTCGACCGGTTCACTAAAAAGAACCGGTTCAAAAGAACGATTCGTTCACGAACCGGCCATCACTACTAGGCTGTTAAAGTAATAGTTCACCCAAACATGTAAACTCTGTCAGTAATTACTCTCCCTCATGTTGTTCCCCGTAAGACTTTTAAGACACAAATGAAGATATTTGTGATTAAATCTGAGAGCTGTCTCACTCCTCCATAGGCTTCTACTGTATTTGAAACTTGCTGGCTCAAAAAAAGTCAGTAAAGATATCGTTAAAATAGTCTGAGTGACTACAGCGGCCCAAACTTGAGCGATGAGAATACTTTTTGTGCGCAAATAATAAAATAAAAAGAAGAATGACTTTACTTAACTATTTGGTTTAATCAAACGCAGCGCTTCGTCAGAACTATTGGCCGACGCTGGTCATGTGTGTGATGCAGGCCAATAGTGAGCCAGCGTTCTGACAAAGCTCACTGACAAAACTAACTTTTCCGTGCTCAACCACCATGAGGGCATTTCATGGATTTGAAATCACTCACATTCAGCGGGAGGGATGGAAGGAAGTTTGAGGGGATGCACAAATGGCCCCACTCCCCCTTTGCCCCTCCCCATCAAATTCATAATTTGAAAAACATACTTTTTTTTTAATTGTACAAATGCAGAAAGTAGTTGTTTTTGGGATCAAATTACAGACTAGCAGGGTCAAGGGTCACTCACTTGGGATAGACAGGCTCGTACAGGTACTTCTCATCCAACCCGCCGAGAATGTCGAACAACAGAACGTAACCGTTTGCAGCCTAGAGAAAGAGAGAGAATTTTAACAAACGTTCATTACAAATACATTTCACATTCACAGTATATTTAAAATCACACGCACGCTGTGTAAACAAAAGCCAGGACCAATGCCGTAAGGGGTGTAGTGATGACGCTCGTGCCATCGCGCGACTCTGTTGCTCTTAGAAGAGTTTGTCATCAACAAAGACAGGACGAACAAATGTCTGCAAACTGGAGTGAAGCAGAGACCAGGAGCTCCTCTCTATCTGTGCTGAAGCTTTGTGGAACGGTATGCGCGTGTACATGTTTTCGACACGTAAGTTACACGTCTCATCCTGACGTCATGTGTCTTTTCTGGGATCTTTACGGGTTGTGTGTGTGAACGCACTCACAGATCCCGGCAAATCACTGGCAGTGTGAATGAACCGAAAATCAAACAATCCTGGGACAATTGCCGGGTCACATTATCCGTGTATTTTCCAGAATCTCTGTAGATCGACAGACAGACAGACAAACACCTATAATCACAACCAAACAAGTTTCTACACAATAAAATAGAATAAAACAGTAAATAAAGCCAAACCAAAAATGAGAGCAGGGATATATACAATAAAAAAAATATAAAATGCTAAAAAAATTTAACTAACCACATAATGTGAATGGATCATTGGCTAAAGGTGAAAGGATAATCCCATAATGTTCAGTGTTGATGTCAAAGGTCACGTGTCTCAGATGAAGGAGTGTGTGTTTGTGTGAAAGGACCGTCTGAACGAGAGCGCCACACACAGAGTAAATGTCAAGAATTTTACTCAAAGAAATGGCAAAATTACAGAAAAATGGAAAAGCACAGAGTCTCAGAGCGTCACCATGACAACCAGATACAAGACCAGAAGAAAAGCTGTGAGACGCTGGAGATTGACGGATATCTGAAAGAGTGACGGAACAAAGACCACGACTACACCAGCGGCTCAACATTCCTCAGAAGAAGGTCTTCATATGAATCATCCAATCATCTCTCTCGACAGACATGATACACACACTCGCTCACTCTCACTCACTCGCTCACACACAAATGATGGAAAAACTGGAAGACGACACACCGAAGAATGTGGAAGCAAAGGAGGGAGGGAGAGAGAGAGAGAGAGAGAGAGAGAGAGAGAGAGAGAGAGAGAGAGCGCAAGCGAGGTTGAACTTCCTCTAGAGTTCAACGTTCGAGACAAGTCGTTTGAGGTTTTCCACAGCTGGATCGAGACGGCAGCCGAAACTCCCAGATCCCCTCAAACGCTCCTCAGATGAGCTCCGAGAACAGGAAGTGATACGTTCCGTAATCACGTGGCAGATTAAAGTCAATCTTAGCTTCTACTTCTCAATCATTTGTATTGTTTCAATGCAATCGCTTCGTTTAGTGGGTTGATTTCGTTAAATGACTGAAATACATTTAAATATATAAATATAAACTTGTTCAAAATATTGAATAATATATTTATACAAAATATATGATCCTCTGAGGTGAAGCACCCTCACATAAATCTTTCATGAACACAATCCCAGAATGCACTGCACTCGGTTTTGTTAAAACAAGTTCAAGAAATGTGCTTTATATAGCATCAGGACACTTTCCTCAAGTTTCCTCAACTTCACACAGCGTTGAAGCCAATACAGCTCAGTGTGTGATTCACTGGGACAACAATATTGCCAAAGAAAAACATCTGATGCTATTTTAAAACAGTGCAAAAGATAGTGTGCAAGAACACACAAACAGGGGAAATTTTAAATATATTTTATCCCAAATCTCAAAATATAACTAAATAAAATATACTAGAAAAAGCAAGCTGCTTATGTAGGGAGCAGAGAGTAAGACCACTCTCACACACACACACACACACTCATGCACTCTCTCACACATACTACACTCTCGTGCACACACTCTATCTCACAAGACAGATGTTTATTCCAACAAACTCACTAGATAAACTTTAATATGCAGAACTGTGGGACAGTGAGGTAAAACCAGAGCCACTTTTCTGAAGGAATGAACATCTGTTATCATCTGAATCATTCATACAAGACGTCTAAAAAAACACACACACACACACACACACACACACACACACACACACACACACACACACACACACACACACACACAGAGAGAAGTCTTTACACACTCAAAGATCCCAATGTGACCCAGAAACTCAAACAAAAGCTCTAGGGAATGTCCATCCTATTATTACTGGCGGCTCCGCGATGGAGGATTCGCACATTCCAGAACACAGATAAGACAGCGCTCACGCGACGCCATGACGAGACGAGACGCGGGATGATGTTTCGCATCACTCCTGATTTGAATTTCCACCATTTGTGGAGAAACGTTTGCATGCCTGACTAAAAGCGTATCCTTGTCACTTTACATATCACTTCTCCAAAATAAACAACATCGACTGACCGACATCTGGACACACGAGCCAAAACCTGAAATATGAGTGTCGTTTTTTAATTTCATTAAAAATCAAATACAAAAATTCTAATAAATCATAAAACAATAAATAATAAACAGTAAAAAAAGAAGGATTAGTCAAATGAAAAATAAACTAAATAAATATAAAAAAAATCAAAATAAAATAATTCATTAATAATAATAAAATAATATACAATAAAAAGGTAAAAATAAATAAATATTTTTTTATGTACCTAAATAAAAAAAATAAAAATATCAATAATAAAGCAATACGACAATAATTTATAAATAATAAAACAAAAACAAAAAATAAAGAATTTAAATAAACTAAAAATAAATGTAATTCTAGAATCTAAATACAAATACATCAATAACAAAATAATACTAATAAACCGTAAAAAACAACATTTTATTAGCTTCTAAAATTTTAATAAAACATGAATGAATAATTAATAATAATGTAATGTAATAACAATAAACAGTAAAACAAAAAACGAACTAAGAAATTAAATCAAATAAAAAAAATAAGATACAAATAAATTAAAGTCTAAAATGTAAACAAATCAAAAAAACTAAATAAAAAAACAGTATTGGCAACAGTATCTACACTGTGTCTATAGGGTTTAATGTGCGTGTCCTGAACCGGTTGTTTGCTGAAGGATGATTACAGGAGTGAGCCGGACTTGATCTGTTACGCACGCACACACACACATACACACACACACACGAGATAATGGATAGCTTCCCAGCGACGCAAGAATCCTGACTGCAGAAAATCAAAGAAGATTCTTCAGTCATGGTAAGAAACCCAAGAGGAACATCACATCAGATAGGATACAAATAATGACAGTGCTGTTCTGGTAAACACACCTTCTTCACCAGAATCGTTTTCACTTAACGAACATCAGTGTGTGTGTGGTAATGAGATGAAACGTTGTAGGTGTAATTCATGTACAGTTATTCTCACATAAAGGGTAAAACAAAAACGAAACTAAGAAATTAAATCAAATAAAAAAAATAAGATACAAATAAATTAAAGTCTAAAATGTAAACAAATCAAAAAAACTAAATAAAAAAACAGTATTGGCAACAGTATCTACACTGTGTCTATAGGGTTTAATGTGCGTGTCCTGAACCGGTTGTTTGCTGAAGGATGATTACAGGAGTGAGCCGGACTTGATCTGTTACGCACGCACACACACACATACACACACACACACGAGATAATGGATAGCTTCCCAGCGACGCAAGAATCCTGACTGCAGAAAATCAAAGAAGATTCTTCAGTCATGGTAAGAAACCCAAGAGGAACATCACATCAGATAGGATACAAATAATGACAGTGCTGTTCTGGTAAACACACCTTCTTCACCAGAATCGTTTTCACTTAACGAACATCAGTGTGTGTGTGGTAATGAGATGAAACGTTGTAGGTGTAATTCATGTACAGTTATTCTCACATAAAGGGGCTTTTGCACTATAATTTATGAGTTCCCGACCCGTCACTAACGCAGAAGTGCATGCTTTGAAGTAGGAGCCAGTCTATTTCCCAGTTCCAGAGTCGGGTCTGACCCAGAACTAAAGGAACTACCAGTGATGCAAGTGTGTGTTGAACGCATGTGAAACTGGTAACCACAAACAAACCAGCAACCAGAGTTGAACTCTGGTTTGTGTTAAACACACAAACCAGAGTTTATAGCCTATATATTTACTGCACAAACAAGGAAGCGAGAGATGGACTGGGGGACCAGGCAAGACATGTTGGGAACCATCATAACACATTATTATAGGGACAATACAAATACCGAATAAAATGAATGGTTTAACAGCCACAAATATTAGCATTCTCATTTTACAGTTGTAACGTTAAGTAATGTAAAATAATTTTTAACATATTAAATACGGTTTTATTTTCTAGTTAAAAAAAATCTGTAATCCTGCTGAAAGTCAAGTCAAGTCAAGTCACATTTATTTATATAGCGCTTTTCACAATACAGATTGTATCAAAGCAGCTTCACACTGATAACATGAAAGTAGCACAACACAGATCAACAACATTGCTAAACACTAAATAACCCCAACTGAGCAAGCTCAAAGCAAGCCAAAAGCAAGGCGACAGAAATGAAACAAAACACAAATATTTAAGTTAAATTACTCTATTCTATATTCACAGTACTAAAACATTAGAATACGCTACTTTATACTGCTATAAAATCAGCATAAAACTATGGTATATAAATACTTTATTATTTAAAATAATACAAACAATAAAACCACAGTGCTATAAATCTTGAATATGGGTTATAAACTGGAGATTTTATCAAATAAAGCAAAAACCACAGTACACAAATACAAAATTAAGAATGTTTCAATAATCAGTCTAAATGTTTCTGTGTTTGTAATGTCTAGGAAGGCACGAGGGTTCACACACAGCAGCACATTTACACACACAGGATGATGAAAGCGTCAAACACAAGTGAAAAAACTCGAGTCAGCATTTCTCAGGTCTGATGATGTGTAAGAATAAACCGCTCAGATTTCAGGAAGTGCACATCTCTAACACAAATTTTATTTCTCGTGCCATTTATACACCAAAAAATAGTTTTTGTGTGCAAATGATACGCACTGTAAACCCCTTGGGTAGGATTAGGGGTGTGGATGGGTTTCTTTCTTCTGCCGGACACAAAGAACAGAAGGTATTTTGAAGAATGTCAGTAACCGGTTACTGACATTCTTCAAAATATCTTCCTTTGTGTTCAGCAGAAGAAAGAAACTCATACCGGTTTGAAACAACTTGAGGGCAAGTAAATGATGACAGAATTTTCATTTTGAAGTAAACTTCAAAATGAAGAGCATAATCGTGCAGCCCCACATGCAATCATACACACTCGTTCATGAACACACACATGCAGGCAATGCATCAGAAGAGTAGCCCTGGATGATTTAATCAGCTTGATACGAACATGTTTCAGAATCTCATGCATGTGCTGAACAAGTTTTGGTCTCAGGTTGTGTTGTGTTCATGTACAGACACACACATTCAGAGGCAGAAATATCCTTCTGGAGACGATCTGCAGCAAACGGCTCAGAGAAAACCATAGAGACAGGTTTGATTTGACGCATAACACCGTGTCCTAACTAGGCTACACGCCACGCGATAAAATGCCTCTTTTCCACGTTAATCAGAGTGTGTGTGCTAGCCAGCCGCAACAGCGACACGCAATGATTCTACATTAGAAACAGTTACTATTTTTCTGCGACGTCGCGCTGGAACAAACTCAAAGTGTGGCAATGATAATCTCAGGCACTGTTTATGTGCTTTATTTAATGTTAAAAGCATATAATGTTAACTCTGAATATGATTTAGTACTCCAGCTTTGCAGCTGCAGCCGTAAAAGCAACAGTAGATAATTCACCTCAGATCTTGATATTAAAGGCAATGCAAGATCTGTACCTTAATATAACAGCTTCAAAGTCGTTTCAGTGGTTAAGAAAGTCATAGTAGGGCGAATCATCGTGGTAGTAGAGCTTGGGGGGGGACGCCGCCGTAAAAACTAGCCATGCAAGATTGAGAGCAGCGCCCCTGACACATCACGAAATGGTTTACGGTAGGGGTGTCCATGGTTAACCGGTTAACCGATTAACCGTTTAAAATTGGATAACCGAGTGAAACCTTTTTGCTCGGTTAAGTGGCGTCAATACATATTTGCACAAAACGTTTGCGTTTTTTTTTCTTCTGATTGTCGATAAAAAAAATATTGTGAAATGACAGCGTTTCTATTAACGGTGTTATGGGACTAAAACATTTTTTTTTTTCCTTTCGCGATAACCCAAAATAATGGCAACGGACGTTGCCACCGCACTAAACATTATTATTATTTATAAAAGGAGATGTGGTGTGTCATCCAAGCATTACAACGCATTAATGCAGGGACAGTCACAGAGTTTCGTCAAAATATTGTGTTTATTTGTGCTTTGTTCCTTTTTTTGGATAAAAGCGTCTTCTACATATGCAGCCTAATAAAATGTTACAATAATGATGATTATTGTTATTATTATTTGCGGATACAGAGTTTTTGCGAAATGGACGTGTTGCCAATGTGCGTATTTTCAATGGGCAATTTCAGTTTGAAGGGTGATGGAAACGCGCCTACTTTAACTGCTCTGAACTTACCACTGCGTTTTATTTCTATAAATTAATTTAGTTTCAAATGGGGTCCAACCAGTTATTAATGGTGTTAAAAATTAACTCTGTATCTCGAGGTTGCGGCGCGCACACTATGGTTAACCGAGTATTAACCGATAAGGGTCTCGGTTAACGGTTAATGAAAAACTTGAAAACGTGCAGCCCTAGTTTACGGCAATGACGTCACACACATCAGCAACAACATTGCACGCATCCAAGAAAACTCGGTCAGAAATGTCCAGAAAAAGGGAAAGAGAATCGGACCGTGCAAGAAACCGGACAGGAGTCCGCTCGGTCATGCTTTCAATCGTTGGCGCGAGCTTAAAAGCAGAACTGGATTGTAACAGCGATGCTGACCTGCCAATCTTGTGATGGACTTGTGAGTAAATCTCTTATTTGTAAACTTGTTTGCGTTCTATGTTGTATGTTGCTGCACTAGCTTGTAGTTTGTCATTTTTACGGTGCTGTTCATTCATCCGTTGTTGATAATTAGACCAGTTCATATAATTCCCACACGTCTAGCTAGCTTTCGTTTAACAAAGCTGTAAGCAGGCTTCCTAACAAACAGTCGTTTCTCTTAGTTTTGTTGTTTTTTCGTTATGTTTTATTGCCGAGGTTGCCACAAGAGCTAGTTTGCCAGCTGAACTCAGGTGTTGTGATGTGCATCACGTAACGTTAGTCCGTTGTATGGTTCGGATTTCTTATGCCGTGCGTAAGGTATTGTTATAAACTTTATCTGACTAACAGTGCACGTCTCAACTGTAATTTTTCTTCAAATTGTGTTGATTATGAGTTAAATCTTGACGCTGTTAATGTTGATTCCTGCGATTATCACGAGGACATAGTCAATATCTCACATAATAGGACGCCTAGAGGTTGTAAATAGTGTAATTGAACACAATTTGCTAACTATTAAGATAAATTGTAATCATGTCTAATGATTACAAAAAAAATCAGAGAGTGCATAGTGTGCCTTTAAACAAATGGAAACAAGAACGTTCAAACTGTGAACAAACAAGTATATTCTTTGACAAAGATTGTTGTAGTAACTCAGCATATGTGTTTTTAATAATGTTTAAATGGTGTAATATTTGTGAATTTGATTATGTACTTGTCCATGTTCTTGCGAGTGCCATCAGGACGACTCTCTGGTGCTCTCTTAAGGCCAATTTATACTTCTGCGTCGAGGGTACGCCGTAGTGTACGGCGTTGGCTTCGCACGTAGGCGACGCCGTCGTGAGCATTTATACTTCTGCGTTCAGGTATTGGTTGCTCTGCAGTACTGCTCCGAGACGCTAGTTGGCGGCGGAGGGTTTTAATGTTCCACTGTGTTTAGATTCCTCGCGGCTAGGTTACTACAAGCAATAGCGACTGAAAGAGAGTGGATCATGTTGGAGTTGGAGCTTATTGGGGTGGAAAAACAGTTCATTTTAGTGAAATTACTAAAACTGAAAGGCAGAAATGACAGAAGACGTCGGAGGAGATGGTACGTGTGGAAATGCGTGAGAAGGTACGTGCGGAAATGCGTAGGAGGAAATGCGATGCTACCAAGCCGACCAATCACCGATCTTACGGTCCGCGTCGTCGCGACGTGTAGTTACATTTTTGAAGAGGTGCGCGTCAGGCAACGCGGAAGGGTACGCGGTATGGGACGCGTCTGTGCGTATGCTACGCCGTACCTACTGCGCGCACCCTACGCAGAAGTATAAATTGGCCTTTACTTGCCCATACGCTGTTCTGATTGGCTGGTAGTTTTGTTTGATTTTGATTGATCTCGCCATCGCGGCTAGTGTGGACAGACAAGATATTTATCGCTGGAATTATGTCGCATTGCGTCTGGTTAGGATACGGTGTTAAGGCCATTGCACACTGTTTTTTTTTTTTTCGTATTCGTGATTCGGTGGCTCTGAATTGCCAAAACACTATTCAAACTGCTTGATACGGATGCGAAAAACGCAGAAAACGTTTTGGAGGCAGTGTGCATGATTGACGTAATGTAAGGCCATATTTATTTTTTAACATGCAGAAATTTCAGATGCGAATTTCGCACTCAGCGTGCAAAGGCCTAAAGCTGTGTGTCCACCAAAGCGTTTTTCACTCGTCTGGTGTATCTTCTTGATTGTTTTCAATGGGAGCGGAACATTTTTTAAACGCCATAAGCGTAATGAGGCGCTGAGCTGTGTTCTCACTGAAGTGATGATACCTCGATGTTTAAAGGGGGGGTTGACTGCTTTTTTTCTTTGCATGATTGTGTTTATGGGGTGCAATATAACATGTATTCATGGTTTTTCTTTTTTTAAAAGTCTTATTTTTCATAAATTTCACCTTTATCGTAAGCCGCGCTCTCCTCTGTCCTCGAACGAGCGGTTGACTTCCTGAGTCTATGAAACCACTCCCTCAGAAACAGGCAGTGGGATCAGATTGGTTAGTTTGGGCTGGTGTGTTGTGATTGGCTAAACTGTCGCTCACGTTGTCTGGAAGGTTAATGCCCATTACCTTTACGGGCGAAACACGAGCTCTGGTCCAGATGTAAATATGTGTCGAACTGCAGTATCAGTTTGAGGTAGAATCAGACCAAGAAAGCGGCGATGAAGGGTCAAGCAGAACCTCACCAAACACGGCTCTTACTAAACGTATCTGAATGATAATTTGCTACATTTTTTAACTTTATAAACGTTTGTTTTACACAATAGCATCTGACTGGCAACAATAGCAACTGACTGGCTGCTAATGTTATACTCAAACAGCGTTGGCATGTTTACGTTCTTGAGAAAATCGAAAATAACGTCATAAAGCATATATACATGAAAAATACGTTTAAAACATTAGTACTTATACAAAATTCAGGTCCATAATGTTTCTATGTGTTTGTCGTAGACACAAAATAGCATAACTAGTAGCCTAGTGGCTATGAAGCCAACGCTGGAATTTTAAAAAACTAAAACACAAGGCTACGTCTGGAATTATACATGCAAATACATTTAAAATGATTAAGTCTTGGCCTACTTACAGGTTGTGGCCCAACAACGGCTGACTCTAGTTTTAAAGTCGAAATTGCTTCATGTTTTAGTAACAGTTTCTTGTTGAATCCGGTGTTGAACTCAGTGTTGGAGATTCTGGAAGCTGTCTCTCGTAAAATGCGCAGCACAGAGAGCTAAATTACGATCGTAATTTTCAGGAACATAATCAAACATTAATTGTCTCCATTGTTGACGAAGTACAGCGTCCGTGGGAAGCCCAAACACAGAAGACCTGACAGCTGCGTGAACAACACACTCGACGAGCCGCAGAAATATGATCATGCCCTTTCCTGCATATTCCGTCCGGAGGGAGGGTTGATGCAAATGTATGGGATAGTGACGTCTAAAACCCAGCTGTAGTCCCAATCGAGTCGTTTTTGTAGGCAATATACTTCCAGATTTTTTAAAAGACGATATCTCTGCTTACACTAAACTTTCAGCGCTGCAACTTTGCAGATACTGTTCATGCACCAACAGCAACATTACACACTATTTAAAATCAAAAAAGTGAAATCGCAATCGATCCCCCCAATTTAATACTGGTCGCTGAGAGTTGAAGAGTGTTCTTAACTTTGGGTAAAACGCAGCGTTTATCACCGTCACTTTTTACCTAGCCATCCAATCACAGTGGAGGAGAGGCGGGGCTAATACCACACCCACCAACTGCCACAACATTCTTTCTGTACAACGACATCAACCAGAAGAACAAACCAAACAAAATGGATGAAAATACTTTTAGTATGAAACAAATTATCTGCGAAATCAGTAACAAGTAAACTGTGCTGCGGATATTCTGTATCATAGCGATGAAACGGTCTCAACTGAAAAAACGCTGCACTGCCAAAACACTCTCAAGCGCCCACAGCTAGGCGTTTCCAGCAGAGCGTCAAGCGTTTTCAGCTGGCTAAAAATGCTTTGTTTGACACAGCCTTAAGAGCAACTCATTCCCCTGGAGGAACTAAATAAAAACCTCAGATGGAGCCGACAAGACGGAGCGCATCATCAATGTTCTGTACACAAACCAAAACTCCGGTTCAATTCTGCTGTGAAGTTACTGAACTCCAAAGGAGCCCAAAATCAGCACGGATCCAGATATACTAGATCAAGACAGAAGATGAAGCTGGAAATAACTCATCTCTGCAGAATTGTGGGAAATAGCCATGAAGGCTTTATCACTTCCAGCCCACACAGGTCTGATTCTGGGACACGGCTGCAGTTCACCGAAGCTCCAGCCAATCACTGAACTTCTGAGAATGTTTTGGAAAACAGCAATGCCGATAAACGCCTGCCAATATTACCCATGATGCTCCATCGATTATCCACTGTGATGAACGCGTGGAAAGCTCACAGGCTGTACGGAGGCATCTGGTGTTTAAGAGAGATGCGTTCTCCAGACTAAACATCCAAACCGACCTGTTGTTATCTCTGCTCAAAGAGATGGAAGATTAAAGCACGAGTGTTTTGTCTGGAGGGTCACACACTCAGATTCTGTGTGTGAAGCAGCCAATCAGATCTGGGATACGGGTTTAAGAAAACATTTGTACTATTTACTCTGCAACTGAGAATGTCATTCAGAAAATACTGAATAACACTTTTAAATGCAAGTATTGAGTTTCAACTTACTCAAATATCTAATGAAACAAATGTAAAGAAAAACAACAACAAAACTTTAATGTGGTTTAAATGTTTGACTTGTAACTTACTAGGTTGCAATTATATATTGTAAGAGCCAAATGTTGCTTCTTTGTTATGTAATTCTAGATTTTAATTTCTGTGTCTGACACTGGGTGGCGCATGTCTGCAAGTTCGCCACAGGTATAAAGGCTCGAAGTGACTAATGTTAGGAGTTCGTTTTGACACCGAACTACTAAGGTGCCTGGACCCGGGATAGCCTGGTTGACACGCTCGGTGTTATAATGCTACGCTCACTTGATTGCCCTGTGCTAAACAAACTCTCGTAGATAATATGGTAGTTGAAATCCATAGTGGTCCATTTTATTAGGGCCCAAGCCCTGAAAGGGCGAAGGCCCTATTGTTTTCCTAACGATTATTAGGGCCCAAGCCCTGAAAGGGCGAAGGCCCTATTGTTTTCCTAAGGATTATTTTTCTTTACTATTATTATTATAATTAGGGCCCAAGCCCTGAAAGGGCGAAGGCCCTATTGTTTTCCTTGGGATTATTTTTCTTTACTATTATTATTATTATAATAATTATTATTTTACTACCTTTTGGGCACTTTTGGGGCCCTTAACATGCTCGAAAACTCTTGAAACTTTGCACACGGGTCAGAACCCGCGGCCATCAGAGCCGGGCTGAAGCTGGTACCCGGGCGTGGTAGGGCGGCTCGTCAGCGCCCCCTGGAACGGGGTCCGAACACTTGGTCCATAACTCAAACACGCTTGTATGTAATAATATGAAACTCGGTACACATGTTGATCTCATCGTTTCATCTATACCTCACACTCTTACTTTTTACCCCAGCCCAACAGGAAGTCGGCTATTGAGGTTTGTTTGTAAAACGCTCGCAATGGAATGTCATATACTCCTCCTAGAGCTTTGATCCAAATTCGACGAAACTCGGTCAGCGTGAAGTCAAGACATTGAGGATGAAAGTTTGCGAGGGGATTTTTTATATCTCGAACGGTTTGTCCGTGGCGAGGAAACGAAATCATGGCGAGAAACGTGAAACAGGAAGTGTGTTATAACTTCAGCATACATTAACTGATCTTGATGAAACTTCAGCAGTGTGTTCGCTGTAAGAGGACGATCACATGGATGTGACTATTGTGAGTCAAAGTTATAGCGCCACCAACTGGCAGCAGGAAGTGTGTCACTTTCAAAATGCTTTGATATCACCCTTTTATTTTTACCCGATTTGCTTCAAACTTCATATGTATAATGTAAACATACGGCAGATGTAGACCTGTGAATGGATTCTTGATATCTTTGAAACTGTTGCCGTGGCGACGCATCAAACTTTACCCTTCTTTTAGGATGCTTTTAGGATGCTTTTGAGACCCTTAGCATGCTTCAAATTGCATGAAACTCGACAGACACATCACATTTATTAGCCAGTAGACATGTGCAAAGTTTCAGAAACGGGCGTGGTGAGGGCTCAGTAGCGCCACCTTTTGACAAAAGTGGGGTTGTTAGTTTTAACTAGAGTTACAAAAATTGGTATGTATATTGTACTCCTCGAGCCGGACAACTTTCTAATTGACACTTATTAGCTAGGACCCACAGAAAGTCAGATATTTTTGTTTGAATATGGCCACTCTGAGCCTACATGTGTCTGTGTCTCTGTGTCTTTGGCTGGCTGGCTGCTGACTGGCTGGCTGGCTGTGTCTGTGTGTGTGTGTGTGTGTGTGCAGGGGAGGGGGCTTAACCATTTCACTGCTGTGTGTATGACCTGCATAAAGAAAATACATTTCTCAAGCCTGGTATTTTTTAAATAAGTTTTTATTTTTATTTTTTATAAGTAAAGGCATATAACTAGTTTAATTGTAGTGAATTGACAATAGTTTTATATAATTAGTTTATTAATCAGATTAACTTGGTCAATAAACTTGGTCTGAAAATTTGGTCCATAAATCAAACACACTTGCATGTAATAATATGAAACTTGGTACACATATAGATCTCATCGTTTCATATATACTTCACACTCTTACTTTTTACCCCAGCCCAACAGGAAGTCGGCTATTTAGGGTTGTGTTTAAAACACATGCAATGGAATTTAAATTATTGCTCCTAGAGCACTG